ACCAGAGACCTCGATCATCAGCTGCAAGAAGGATTAATACTAGCTAGTAGGTGAGATGTCTTCTTACCTCAAATAAGCTAAGAAGTAATGTGCACCAAAGAACGCCTTGGCAATGTAATGCGCGTGGTGATTGGATGGAATGCTGAAGGCTTGTAAGTGCCTTGCTATATGACTTCAATGCAAAGTGGTATGGCGATCGAAGCTCATCGGAAGACCTTGTACTTGGGGACCTGCTGATTTCCAAGGCGCCAATTGCGACTGTTGCCTCTCGTAGTGGTGCACATGTTTGGATAAGAGGCAGAAATTCAGAACCAAGATTTGCAAACTCAGGTGTGAATTCACAACGTTGAAGAAACAAGAAAAATGTCTTCAGGTAAATACTATCGGGCTTGTCGCTTATTTGTGGCTGGAGGTTGCTTGTATGTTGGGTCACCACTGAATGGCTGACAAATTTCAGCTCGGAGACTGTAGCGGCTTGAGGCTGACAGTTCTTCTTCATGCGGACGCAATACTCGCAGGGGGTACCCCCTTCACACTTTTATTCACGTTAGTTGCGGTTGGATGATTTTTTGCGATGGCGCTCTAACCTTGATACGCCGTCTTGCGCATGACTGGCAGCGGGTTAGCCTTTTGCGCTGATCTAGCGGACCAACGATGCGTCGAGTCTTCATTTGGTGAGCTATTGCGTATGATTGGGTTGTCAGCAGGATAATTATGTCGTGCAAGTCACGGAGGAACCATAACTAAGGTAGTAATGTCATCTTTTGTTCGGAGTCATGACTGATGAACGCGTAACTTTGTATCGAGGCTCAGCTTTAGTTCGGCCCCACCAGACTTGACTCAAAGTAGAAGCATTTGAACGCACTGGAGCAACCTCATCAAAAGCATAACCAATGGCAGCTCTCAACCATTCTTGACCTAGGTATTTTACAGTTCCAGATTGTAGCCCAGTGAACGAGGCGCAAGACATGATCTTTAATGGCTCTATTGACAAATTGTACGCTTGTGGTGGTGTAAATTTATGTCAAGCGATGCTCCTTTGATGCAACCGTTATACAGAATCGGCGAATGTATTATAATTAAATTAAGTATTCCCTATTAAGAGCTGTTCTAAGCATTTTCCGCTATTTCTCCAGATTCCTTGTAGTCCATGTAAATCCACTTTTCATTACCTTTCGTGATATTTCCCAAATAACGCCGGTTTGTTGTGATCCTGTCCTTTTGTGGCGCTGTTGCCAATAATTATGCGAAAACAGACGCCATAAGTCGTAAGTCCCTCTTACAGCCTTCTGCGTAGGATGAGCCATTTCCCAAGTAACAGTGATCGCCCTGTGATAAAGAAGATGGCAGCTAGTACGATGATAGCGAGGTAAAAGCAACCCAGAAGTTGAGCACCCAGCTTTTCGAGCAGGATTCCACTTAGTGGGTTGGCAAGGAGCAGGGCGACAGCCACACACATGTTTGTAGAGCCTTCTCTTGAGTTAGTACCTGAATTTTGCCAAGAATCGGAACCATGAACTCACCAAAATATCGCGCATAATCTTGAGGCTCACAAGTCTTTCCGGTACATACTGCAGTATATTAGCAGTGAAGAAGAATGACGTTGGGTGAACTTACATGGTGATAGGACGTAGAAAGATCCAGAACAGTATCCCCAGAGTGCAGTAAAGGTATACATGAGAGGAGCTGAGGTGGTGCTAAATGGGATAAAAATGGACGCGATGAACACCGGAATGACTAGCATCGTGGTGATCATAGCATTGAATGGTCCAACCTTGTCTCCCACGAACCCAATCGAGAAACGGCCGATGCAAGAGCAGGCACCCAGGATGGATAGAAGAGTATATCCATCCTCGGTGGAAAACCCTGCTCCTCTTGCGATAGTTGGTAATAAGCCACTGATTCCATAGTTGACAAACTCAACCATGCAGATACCAAGGGCAGTGACGGTAAAGCTTAACGACTTGAAGGCCGACAAGTCTAAGCTGAAGCTCTGGGGTTTTTGAGCTGTCGCTTGTCCTTCGGTGAGTCGTCGGAACGGGAGATAGCATAAGACGCCGAGTGACGTGATGCACGCGATGACCAACGCAACAAGCCTCATCGACCAAGCCCAACCAAGCTTGCCAAAAGTAGCACGTAACATCATGGGATAAATAATACCACCAAGCGAAGTGCCCATAACAGCAATGCCCATAGCAAGGCCGCGACGGTGAGTGAAAAGCTTGCCGATGACGCCGATAGCTGTGACAGCACCGATACCGCTTCCGATACTGCCAAAAAGGCCGAGACAGAGGATGAAGTGCCAATATTGCGTACACTCAGCTAGTAGCAGGAATGTAACGGTGGAGAAGGCGGCGGCGATCGGGCCGAGGATCTGAGGACCGTAGCGATCTAGGATAGAGCCGATCTGGAAGTTGAAGATGAGGGAGAGAAAAAGGTAAGTTCCCGATATCCATCCGACTTGACTAACACTATAGCCGTTCAACTCGTTGAGGGTGAGGTGGGATTGGATTGTTCCAAGGGAGTTCATAAATCCTAAGACTTGATTAGTAATTGCGTTGTTGGGGATGCCGGACAGTACTAACCATAGGAAGATATTAGGAATAGCATAGATGCAAAGACGCAGAGCCAGGCACCGAAGTCTGACTCAATATCTCTTTTTTCTAGTTGTTTTTCGTTATCTGGGCCAGTGGAAAGGTCTATCTGACTCGGAGGTACCGAAGTTGGTGCGCTTTCGATGTCTGGAGTTGCCGCGCCCTCGCGGAATAGAGTAGGTGAGGTCGACCTTGATCGATCCATGTTGATAGTACTGTCGTGATTCAATGTCTGATAAAACTCTTGCTGTCGAATGCAGATATCTTATCTTGAGAGTACAGTCATTGACTTATACTCTATTTATACCCTAAAAGTACCTGACGTCCACCACCAACAATCTCCACTCACGATATATCTTCACATCATGAGCCTCAACATAAAAAAACAGAACGTATCTCTCGCTTATTCCCAATCAACGCCATTCTCCGATGCCGATCCCAAGACTCGTGCCTGAAGATTTAAAGAAATCTAATAATGGCCCAAGCTCGTTCGATCGACTCGGCCAGACCCGCCGCGTTGGGTCAGGCATCTTGTGTTGCAGCTCCACTTAGTGGACCGCTTGACTAAAAGACTGAAGGTCATGAGCGATTGCGACACCGGGAAAATAGTCATAATATCCACGTCTCGGTCAGATTCTTTGTCACGAACTTGTGGTACGTCGCTACGTACTTGGACCATGAGGTTCGGTGAGTATCGTAGTTGTGCACGGGAATAACGGAGGTCCACCGCCGTCGGGCCAAGTACACTCGGTATTGCCACTGCTAAATGCCGACGATCTGACTTTGGATCGGTGTGAGCTCGGGTACCTTGTAAAATACAAGGATTTCGTGTTTATTGTATATTTTAGATTTTCTTAGCTTTTTTCTTAGTGTTTATATCGTGATCTTTCCCGGCTGCGCTGGGACCTTGGGGCCCGCATCATCATATCATGTTACTCGTCATGTCACTTGGTGTCGCCACGCACTGTAGATTTCTTACAATTTTAGCATTATTGGTGATATTTCCGGTTTCAATTTTGATGATAACCGTTACTTGAGTATAATCCTGCACGGTGAAGTATATACTGTACACTGTGGCTGTTTCCGTGAAATTTCTATAGTGGAGTGGTGTAGGCACGCTCACGTGGTTATACGTCCGATGTAGGAGTCTTGCCAGTAATATAATGTTGAGTCACGAAGTTCAGTTCCCCCTCAATTTTTGTCAGGCTACAAGAGGTATAGAGGCGGTGAGCGCGACCCGACCAGAAGATCCCTTAAGAGACGCCTCCAGACTCCAGTGGAGCAACTTGAGTGATCCTCATTTCTTCAATTCCTACGCTTGCTCAAAAGACTGTCTATACGGTTCAGGAGGTGTCAGGTCTAGCACTGCTCCAAGTTCTGTCTGCCGGAATAGTGAAGATATTTCGCGCAACATCGGATATTTGTAGACACCAAACGTCGATCGGATGACATATAACTGAGAGTTGGCTGCGCTGACTATTAGAGTTATCACAATGTTGATACTCAAGAATATAGGATGAAGTTCTAGATCGCATTGACAGCAGCATGACAGTCGGAGCTAGGAAGCTACAGTATATCTCTCTGCTAAAGGATTCATTCAGCTGTAAGGCCTGCCCTTATCACAAAGGAGTCAACGATGTTAGGACTGAGGCAAGAGGCCTTTCCAGCGTATGGGCCTAAGCCAGTAGGATTCTTTCCAATTCAGACAAAAAATCATACTTTTGAGACTGTGCGACACTCATTACCCCTCAATCTCATGTGAGACGCATCGTTTCTCCATGCAAAGGCTTCCGTAGTTACTTCAAAGCGAGGGGTATCAAAAGGTCCTTGCAGCCAGTGCCCACTAAATAACTTTAACCCCAATAGCCATCTCGCAAGCTATCCCTCCAAGGAAGTCGGGAGCATCAATGGCCAATAGACTGCATGGAAAGGCGATATTCCGAGACGACTTGCCAAATACGAAAATACGCACGTAGATACTAGCAAAAATCGGGCATGCACAGCGCACTGCAGCGGTAAGTTATACGACTACTGGACGGCACAGCACTCTCCGGGGAATCGATCTGTCCAGCCGCTGGCGATCTTTCCGGTCTGAAACCCTCCGCATTGATGGAATAGGAAGCTCGAATTGACTGTGGAGACAATTTATGCGAGGGACATTTTCAGCTGAAAACTCAATGCAACATAAAATAAGACTTGCATGAGACTAGTGAGTTTGTATGCAAAGCAGATCAGGATGATCATTGTTATTGGATGGAGCTCGGGATATTTGTTTGGTCTAGAACTGGTATCACGAGATGAATACTACCTTCGACTGTGCAGGTAGCCCGATACGAATACTCAAAGTGAGTTTTTGTTGTTGAGATCAGTCCACATTGGTGATTGAGGTGCAGTGAGCGCTGGAAGATGCAGGATGGAGAGGCGCAGGTATGGCTAGATCAAAGGCAAGTAGAAAAGTTCCCATAATCAGATATTGCCTACATTATTAGGGATCTGCTTGACGTATAAATAACCTGATGTCCTCTCGAAGAGCAAGAACTTCCAAGACCTTCACCCTCAAGCAACTGGCAAACAACCTCTCTTAACACTATCTCTTCACGCACTCCTGTAAATTGCACCATGTTATCCATCCCTCTACAGTCTTACTAACATAGCGTAGCTTGGAGCTCATCACGATGGTCAACCCCCTCTACGTCGTCTACGCTCTCTCCGCCATCGCAGGAGTTGAGGCCTGCAAGAGAACCTGCTCTGCTTCCAACGACGCCGGCACCACCTGCAGCTACTCATGCACGCAGGTTTGCTCCAGCATCTCTGCCAAGCAAGCTCGCGATACCTTCCTCGCGGCTCTCCAGTCTGGAGGCAACTCGTGCTCTGCTGTTGGAACTAGTGGTGTCTCGTGCAGGAAGACGGCCAAGTTTGGAAGCTGCTACGATCATCACTGGTCATGTGGCAGTGGCTGCTAGATTGGTCACAAGGGAGAGAGCTATATTATCGGTCATTGTGATGTCAATGTCTGTGCAAGTCTGAGCCAGCAGTTAGTTTGGTGGTTGACATCAGCATGTTACTGGATGTTCTAGAAAAGTCCATATGTTCATCAGAATTAGCAAAGAACAGTTCAAAGCGATAACGTCTATTGGTTTGGTCGTCAGCGCACTGAGCCACCCTCACACGTGGTTAATGAGTTATCTAAATGGACATGGTAGTGGGCTAGGGTAGGCAAGAAGACTTGTAATCTCTCCCTTGACTAGTGATAAGACTAGGCAAGTGTAGTATATCTTAATACTTTAGACCAGTTAGCTCTACCATTTCGGCTGAGGGTATGAAGCTTTTCTTCTATGGGATTGAGTGAACGACAGTAATCCTTCTAGACTGTGCGTTCACCTCTTAGTCCAGAAATCCTAATATGAAGAAGCTGGGTGAACCGGTGCATCAGTGGCTCCGCTTACATTACAAATGTATTTACAGATTATTCTACTTCATATGCCTTCGCTTCTTTTTAGTTGACCGACTGGTTTCCTGTGACCCCGCTCGCAATGGGATTGTTACGTTAGTGAATTTGGACTGACTCGAACACCAAAGACTCCGACCACGTAACCGCGTATCCCTTCGGCACTATCGGCGAACCGTAGGATTGGTAATTGACGAGAGACCAGAATCCTACTCAAGGTATTAATGCTTAACTCTTCTAGATAGGCAATTGATGTCGTCTCGCTCTAAATATTAGTACCGGACACTATTGGCCTTAGTGCAGGCGGATATTATCTCGTCTAGAGGCTTTCGTAGCAGAAAGCTTGCCGTTGAACTAAAACTTAGTAATATAAGCATATCTATTATCACCGTCGGCAGAAGTCACGGTATATCGCCGAACAGCTATGGAGTAAAATGCCACCTCGGCATATGGCAAGTTCCGTGCAATAGAACAGATCCGAGCCGACTTAGCCGCAAGACCCTGAAAGCGCACGGGCGAATACCCCAAAACTGACGTCGGAGCCACTATCCTGCAGGGAAGCCCTGCATTTGCATTGCTGGAACAATTCGCTTGACCATTTTGCTTTCTGGAACACTAGAATGAAATGCGTTAAGATGATATGACGAATTCAGATGCGACCCAATCAACACTATGACCCTTACCACGCCGCGGAGCAGAAACAGTTCGAGACCTTTTCTAACAAGCATTTGTCACTTGTGCATTGGTATCTTACACTAAATGTAACTAATAAATCGTAATGTCTACCTCCCATGATAGTGTCCCGGAGTGAGCTCTCCCCTATCCGCCGGTCCCTGAGCTGAACTAATCACAATTTCCGTCTTGCGCATGATTCCATCCTCCTTGGCCAAAATGTCCTCTGCACTATCACCGATCTGCTCATCAACCCCACTGCCCAAAGGTTGCAGCCCGCTTCTTCGGGAAAGGTTCTTGCGGTAGGTCGACTGTAGCGCGTAACCAGAATTGTTCTGCGACTTGCTGCGGCTGCGACTCCCGACGCGGGACTGCTCGCTGAAGTAGCGCACCAGAGGGGCGAGGGTCGGGACGCAGGCGACGATTATTCCGAGGTTGTTCTCGACCATTGACCATTTGATGAGACCTGCGGAGTCGAGGAGGTTGGAGAGGGATTTTATGGTCTGGATGCGGACGATTTGGATGATGGAGATGAAGATCCCCATGGCGAAAAGACCGAGAAGGACGACTTTCTTGCGGTTCGGCATCTGGAGCTTGAGTAATGTCGGGAAAGGGAGCATCATGCTGTATTTGTCACTGGTTAGATACTTCATTTTGCCAATGTCGTAAATACTTACACGACGACATCAAATACGATGGTGATTGAGGCCATAGTGGTGTACATAGGCACGCCTTTGAGACAAGAGCCGTGTGTAATGCTCAAATCCCATTGTTTTCGAACCTACGAGAAGCTCTTGTCAGCAAAGCCACGTGTTGAGGTCGTCCGAGGGGCCACGTACAGGTGTACAGAGGTTAATCTGCGCAATCAAGAACGAAATATGGAACAACGTGCAGGCAACAGCAACGCCGACAGTGACTTTATACCAGATTCCTGAGGCCATGAACCTCAAGTACGAGATCAAAAGGCTGAGCTTGAACCCTAAGATACTAGAGATGTAACTTTTCGTCGTCGGTAAGCAGTTATTGGGTATCGCGAGAGGAGTCGATCTTACAATGGCGCGCCCATGAATTGTAGCTTGAGACACTGTTAGTTTTTGAGAGACAATTGAGTGATAATGGACTTACCAGCATGAAGTTGTAGTAGTTTTGCTGAGGCAAGTCATCGAGTTTCTTCAATCCGAGTCCCCATTTCGTTTCTAGAATGTGTCAACTGGTGATCGGCAAGACTCGATCTTAGCGAAAGTTTACTCACGTATCACGGTAACAACAGCGAACCCGCAGCTCGCGATCTATTACTGATCAGCAACTCTATCATCTGGAGATCGAATGCAGATCCCTTCTTACCCATGTCGCGATGATGATCCAGTCATCTACAAACAAGACGCGTCAGTGCCAACAAACAACAGGGAATCGACAGGCTCTTCTTACCAGCTCCCACCGACTTGAGCATAAACCCTCTGACGTAAACTCTCAAGAGAACTGTAAGGAGCGCAACGGCTGTGAATACGACAGCGATAGACGTGATTTGAGGGCCATCGGTTGGCGAGCCGCTCGGGGCGTTGTAAGTCCAGCCTGACATTGGAAAATTTGCGACGACAGTATGGAGAGCACAATCCGGAAGAGTACAGCCGACTTATACATCACCCTCTTTCGAAAAAAAGAAACTTGATTCCTTCGAAATGAGCTCTGTTCCGAGACCATGGTCTGATCTGACGCACTCCGACAGCCACAAAACTCAATTTGGCAGGTCGCTTCTCCTCGAGACGATGCGAAATACATCTTCATGCAGGGGTAACTGACAGAGCGTTCATGAACCATTCATAATGGATCACTTGTCCCGACTGTTGAACCCCCCAGCGCCTTGGCAACCCATTACCGGCGTCGACCGAGATAAGCTTCTGACATGGAAATCTGTCAGCCTGTCAGGTAGACCGTTGTGCCGGTGAACCTAAACATCCTAGTCCCAGCCCGGCCCGTGAGCCACTTCCGTGCCTTGTCTCCGCTTTCAGAGTGCACTGTCATCGGTGGGACTAGCTCACTCAAGACATTGACACCGAAGCTTACGATGCACGAGGAAACTCTAATAGTACTTATATAACCCAAAAAGTAAAAAGAGACAAGAACCACTCTCTTTTCTCTGCAAGATCTGCGACACTGTAGCATTTTCTGTGAGTCACACCCTCTGTCTAACTGGTCTGTTGCTTTTTGCTCACGCAGGTAGTGTTTCATCTGCAGGACATCAACCATGAAAGTGACAAGCTTCGTTACAGCCGCTGCGGCATTCTCCACTGCCCAAGCGTATGCCACCACATCTAGCTGTAAATGCTTTCCTGGTGATGCTTGCTGGCCTTCAGACAACCAATGGAAGAGTCTCAACACGACTGTCAATGGTCGTTTGATCAAGACTGTTCCTTTGGGGTCGCCTTGTCACGATCCTACGTACGATGCTGCTCAGTGCAAGTACCTCCAGGACCAATGGCAACATCCCGGGATTCAGTAAGTTTGACTCTGATACAGCCTAGCCCGGTACTAACATGGCCTAGTATGAACTCCTCGTCGTCTGTCATGGCTCCTTGGTTCGCTAACCAGAGCTGCGATCCCTTCCAACCCGAGTCCCGTGCCTGTGAGCTAGGAAACTATGTTCGCTATGCTGTCGAGGCGCAGACCAAGGCCGATGTTGTCAACACCATCAACTTTGCTCGCAATAACAACATCCGCTTCGTCATTCGCAACACTGGTCACGACTACAATGGAAGATCCACCGGTGCTGGTGCTCTCTCCGTCTGGACCCATCGTCTCAAGGACATCCAGTTCAAGGACTACAACGCCAACGGATATAAGGGCAAGGCAGTTACTCTTGGTGCTGGTGTCCAGGGCTTTGACATCCTCAAGGCTGGAAACGATGCTGGTTATGTTGTCATTGGCGGTGAATGCCCTACCGTTGGTGTGACTGGTGGCTATACCCAGGGTGGTGGTCACTCTGCGCTCAGCACAAGCTTTGGTCTGTCGGCGCAGAACACTCTTGAGTTTGAAGTCGTCACAGCCGACTCTGGTGTTGTCACTGCTTCTCCTACCAAGAACTCCGATCTTTTCTGGGCTCTTAATGGTGGCGGCGGCGGCAACTGGGGCGTTGTCCTGTCTATGACTGTTAAGGCCTTCCCTGATGCCAAGGTTGGCGCTGCTACCCTTGCTTTCTTCAACACCAACAACGATCAGGCTACATTCTACAAGGCCATTGAGACTTTCCACTCTAAGCTCCCTGGCATGGTTGATGCTGGATCTATGGTGGTCTACTACTTCACCAACACCTTCTTCCAGATTGCTCCTTTGACCGCCTTTGGCAAGTCTCAAGACGAGGTTCAGACTCTTCTTGCACCCTTCGTCAGCTCGCTTGATGGTCTGGGCGTGAACTATACTGTCAAGTACAGCCAGTCAGCAAACTACTACAACCACTACGATACATACTTCGGCCCTCTCCCCATTGGTAACATCCAAGTTGGAATTGCCCAGTATGGCGGTCGCTTGATCCCCCGTGACACTATCGTCAACAACAACGATGACCTCACCCAAGCTGCTATCAGCATCGTCGAGCAAGGCGTCACGTGGATCGGTGTCGGCACCAACGTCGCACCCTTCAGCAACACTCAGAAGCAGTCCCTTCTGCCAGCCTGGAACAAGGCCCTCGTGCACGCCACTCTCACTACACCATGGAACTTCACTGCTCCCTGGTCAGAGATGTTGGATCTTCAGAACCTCATGACTGATACAATCATGCCTGAGATTGAAGCTGTCACGCCTGGCAGTGGAGCGTACATGAACGAGGCGGACTTCCGCCAGCCCAACTTCCAGTCGGAGTTCTTTGGAGCCAATTACAACAAGCTGTTGTCTGTAAAGGCCAAGTGGGATAAGCAGGGATTCTTCTACGCCAGGAATGCAGTTGGCAGTGAACAGTGGACTGTTAGCGATAACGGCCGAATGTGTCGGCCGAAGTATTAAGCAAACACTTCTGTGATCGGGCTGCGTACACTTGGACCAAAAGCAGTACTGATGAGACGTGGGAGTAATTATGATAGTACTTTACTTCTTAATATATAATTCACCGAGAGCATGCCAGAGCCCTAAGGTTAGACAATGCATTTCATCCATACAGCCCTACAATCCTAGTCCTCCCTTGACATGGCCGCCACTAACATTCCTCCCCCGCCAAGACCCAAGACCGGATCGAAAGACCCCGGCTAAGACAGTGGCGTTAGTGCTATCTTAAAAAGCTACCTTATCGTTGGGCGAACATCTCCCTGATTTTCTTGGCTGTCTTGCATGCTGATAAACCCAACACATAATGCGCCTCGACTCAAAAATGTCAATCGAGGAGATTAATCTCAACCGTGTTGCTCAGAGTTGCCTGCATTAGTGAGGATTTCGGAAGACACGCAGTATTGTGGCGCATTGCAACTCACCCTTAACACTTCCGAAGGGTCAAGTTGTCTGAAGCATCCCTTAAAGGGGAGTATCTCCTCCTTTCGACTAAATATGTTAATCCCCGCTACAAATCCGAACCCGCCGACCTTCTCCATTTTCCCAGACCCTCTTCAGTTACTACCTCTCCCCACTAGCAAGCATGACGATCATCACCAGGATACGCACCTCCAAGCCCAGACGAGCTATTCTCGTTACTGGTGGGGCCGGCTTTATCGGCTCCCATCTCGTCGAAGCTCTTCTTGCTGAGGGCGGTTGGAGAGTTGTCGTTGTTGACAACTTCGATGAGTTCTACGACCCTGCAATCAAGCGCGCCAACCTTGCGCCTCATCTTCTTAACCCAAATCTGAGGCTTTACGAAGCCGACATTGAGGATCTCGAGGCCCTTCAGACTATCTTCGCTGATAATGGCTTTTCCGCTATTGTTCATCTGGCGGCCCGCGCTGGTGTTCTTCCTTCATTGAGCCAGCCCAACAAGTACTTTGATACCAATGTCAATGGCACCCTGAACCTGCTTCAGTGCGCTCGAGAGTTTGGCGTCAAGCAGTTCCTCTTCGGATCATCATCGAGCGTATACGGTCTTGGCGCCAAAGCTCCATTCAACGAGAACTACAAGAGCACACAGCCCATCTCTCCCTATGCAGCATCCAAATCGGCTGGAGAACTGCTTTGCCACACATACTCTCATCTGTATGACATTCGCTGCATCTGCCTCCGTTTCTTCACCGTCTATGGCCCTCGCCAGCGTCCAGACCTCGCGATCCACAAGTTCACGAGGCTCATTCACCAAGGAAAGCCCATTCCGCTCTTCGGAGATGGCTCTTCCCGTCGAGACTACACTTATGTCGACGATATCATTGATGGTATCTTTGCTGCCCTCAAATATGACGGATCTGACTACGAGGTCTTCAACCTTGGAGAGTCGCAGACCATCCAGTTGAGAGATCTTATCGGTGCTCTTGAGGACACATTAGGACGCAAGGCACGCATTGATAGAAAGGGAGAGCAAGCTGGCGATATGCCCATCACCTATGCCGACATCTCCAAGGCGGGTGCCATGCTAGGATACAAGCCCAAGACGCAGGTTCAACAGGGCATTGTCAAGTTTGTCGCTTGGTATCTCAGCCAATGTGGTCCCTGATTTGGAGCTCTTTTCGTCTGTACTACTACTAATAGTTCCTTTTAACGGCTTGGGCTTGGGGTTCGGGGTATCGATTATTTATGGACTGATGGTTTGTACACGGTTTGTTGGGTTTTTCTCTTAGTCCGTTAGTCTTCAATTCTAATGATTTTAAACTCCAATGCTCTCCTATCATGACTTGCCTGACTCCCAACAGAATGTAAATGTTACGAGCAAGGCGCACGATGCATGCTTCAGCTATGGGATCGAGCAACCCAAAAACACTCTCATAAACACAGCTCAGGCAGCATACCGAATGTGAATATCAGGGGAAGAAGATACATTCTAGAGTGCGTTTTCCCCAGGATTGTGATGCTTATTCTGAAGGCTGCAGGGAGGGGAAGGCTTTTACTGCTGTGTGTCTCACCTAATCTTACATGGACGCAATATGCTTATGTTTTAGTCATGATTGTCGCTTTGAGAATGGCGATGCCACCTTCTATCAGACACATATGTCAGACATGCCATTCGTTCCAAATTTCACTTCTTCGAGTTCCGAATCTCAGCAAAATATAACATCGAGGTCGCTTCTGTGCAAAATAAGCAAAGAAGTGTAGCGGTGGCGTAAAACTGCATATCTAAATAAGAATATTAAACTCGCGACATTTCAACGGTTCGAAGGGAGGCATCTCCTCACATTGGTTATCGCCCTATCTTAAGCAAGGGGGCTGCCAAGCTTGCCACCATTCTTCTTCCCCAGCCATTAAATTGCTATGTCTCAAGCCACCAACCAAGACAAGGGCAGATCAGGGGTAAATGCTATCTCTCCTTCTTAAGCTCTTCGACAATTCACCGTCAACAAAAATTTCCAAGTCAATGCCAACATCCATCGGATCGCCAATTTCCCATTCAGAGACATTGATAGCTGTCTTTTTCATCGCCCATTACCGTCGTCTTTCAATTATCACAGTAGTATTCGCTGACTGACTGGCCTTTTTGTGGCTCAGCCACGGTTCTAAAACACCAAAGCTAGCTAACATGCTCTACCCCAATCCGAAGCCCCGTAGGGCACCTCTGTCGGTGATTTTCAGCGCACCCATGTTTTACAAAATCATTACAATTTCTTTGGCATTGTCTCTATCTTTCTATGCATTATCATGGTGGTCGAGGCTGGAAATAACACCAACACACTGGCAACAGGATAACGTCAACACAACAGAACCCGCGGCTCTTGTTGACCAGGACCGTCGTTTTGCCTTCATCATCCCTTCCACAAACCCAAGTCCGAACCTATGCAGGACTATTTTCAGCTCGCTTGCCTTAGGCTACCCAAGCCCAGTAATCATCAATTGGGGAGTCAACTATCGGGACATCTCTCATTGGAGGCTTGGCAAGAATCTTCCCAAGATCATCGGCTTTGTCAATTACCTTGATTCAGTTATGCACCCTAACGCCACCGTAGAAGAGAAGCTAGAAGAAGACGACATCGTTCTCATGGTTGACGCCTACGACGTCTGGTTCCAGCTCCCTGCTCAGGTTCTTCTCAGTCGGTACCATGAAATCAACAAAAGAGCCAATGAAAGACTGCGCAAACAATGGAAGCGTAAGGATGTGCCCATGCCGATGAAGCAGACAATTGTCGCGGCATCGCAAAAGAGATGCTACCCTGCTGATCCTGAACTATTTGGCGTGGATTTAAGATGTGACCTTTGGCCCGAGACTCCTTTGAGAGAGGACCTTTATGGACCGGAGACGGAGAAGAACACTACCTTCTGGCGCAACAACAGACCGAGGTGGATCAACGGCGGCATGTACATCGGCCCAGCAGGCGACATGAGAAGAATGTTCCGCCGCGCCAAGCAAAAGATTGAAGCAATGGTCGGCGAGGCTTTCCCTGTGAGGAGCGAGCAGGGTATGATTGGCGACCTGCTCGGTGCGCAAGAAGTGTGGCGCGAGTTGCAAAGACACAATCACGTCAGCGTTGATGTGAAGGACTTTGTGGGTGAGAATTTCGAATTTCACGTTGGACTTGATTACGGTCAGGAGATATCGGCACAGACATTCGCAACTGAGATCAGCCCAGAAAACAACCTTTTTGACGGTGACTTTGTCGTGCTGAGCGACCAAGAGTCCATCGAAATGAACTCTGAGGTACGCGGTATCTCACCAGTCCGGGTGGAGGGTATCCCAGATGATCTCAAGGCGGTCCAAAGCCCGCTGGTCGAAGACGGCAAGACGGTTGACTGGAGCGACATGCCTCTATACACCGACTTCTTCCTCTCAACAGTGCCAGCTATGCTGCATCACAACAAATTCAAGGAACGACGTGCGACATGGTGGGATAGGCCGTGGTACCACCAGAAGCTGCGCGGCCTTGTCAAATCCGCTCTGCTGCCTAGAGAAACCGATGAGCCCTTGGCTACTGTTCAGCTTGAGGGTAGCAGGGTCAGATACTGGGCTGCTTCAGCAGAGGAGAGGGACAGATATCCCCGCATGGGTAAGCTCAATGCCAACTTGACGGTCTACGATAGGTTTCCGAGCATGGAGCCGAATGAGACGTGTCGGTATGGAAGCCGGAAGCCGCGTGGATCTAAAGCAACGTGGGAGGAGGAGCTTTTCCGTGATGGTGGTGGAGAGTTCAACGGGTCTTGATTGATTGTTGTTATAGATGAAGTTAAATGTCACAAATTGTAGATTTCATATCTTGTTAACTTGACTCGCGATACCAGCATATTCAACAAGACTCGTCAGATAAAAATCAGGAGAATCTGATGGGGATTAATCAAGGGTAATTTCCGAGTGCATGAGGCTAGTACCTATAGCGTTAAACTATCGTGGCCATTAAACTCCAGAGCGTTAGTTGACAGCTTGTAGCGCCGCTTCCCAGTCGATAGTCTGTAGAATTGGCAGGGTTTAGCGCAAGCTGAAGAAGACGCGTCTATCGGCGATAATAATTAGGAGTCAAGTCGGAGAGTTTATTAAGGTGTTGCGACCGCCACTGACATCTTTTCTGACTTTCAAACTGCAGGCGCCTTAATTCTAACCGTAGTCTTTCGTTAGCAATGCGCTTTTTCGCCGCGTTTTCGCTGGCCGTTGGGCTTGTGGCTGCTAGCCCTTGCAAGCCACCGTCTTCCAGTATGTGTTATTCCCGAGAGCCTGTGAACATGCAATAACTAACCGGATCAATTTAGCTGTTGTGTCGGAGGTCATTTCGTCATCTATTACGACCGACATCTCGAGGACGGTCATCGGGTCTGCTTCTTCCACGGTAGATCCCAGCACGAGTACCACCGAGACCGAAGTAGTTGGAACCTCGACCTCAGTCGAATCCTCTGTAGCCGAGACTTCGACTACAGTTGACTCGACGAGTACCGACTACACCCAAGTCAGCGCCTCAACAACCTTGGCCGAGCCAACTTCTACGGCTACAACATCCGAAGCCGCTGCCTCAATTGATACAACAACAGCTCTGACAACAGAAGCCTCATCAGTTGAAACATCTACAGCTGTCGCGACCACCACTACTTCCGAAGAGGCAGTCCCAACGGGTTACTTCCTCGTTGCCGGTGAAGGTCCAGCTCTCGGAGGCAAAGTCAAGTCCAACGGCGACAGTTTCACTCCCATGGTATTCGGCGACCGCGGATCGACTTTCAACCCCGTCCGCTTCCTAGTTGACGAGACCACCGGCGAGCTCCAGCAAGATGGCGTGACGGTCTGCGCATACCAGCAGGTCGGGTTACCTTACGCCCTGATCACGCGGTGCGAAACCAAGAGTCTCTACTACGGAAGTGTTCCCCTCAACTGTGCACAGTTCGAGGGACCTGGAACCTCTATTAGTTGCAGTGCTGTGAAACTGGACTGTTGGCAAACTGGACCCGGTTCTTCTCAAGCGTGTACGAGATCACCGGACCCCGATTGGGATACGTTCTTTATCACTAATAGTGGTGATAATGTCTGGTATCTTAGTTCGGGGGCGTTGCAGAATGAATTCATGACCAAGGTTGACGTGTTTGTTGATCATGTGGAGGTCAGCGCTCCGGTACAAACATAATAAACTGTCCAGCCCTTTGGTGCATTGGCCAAAAGTGACTGCAGGCATAAATGGGTGTGTGTCGTCAGCCTCACTTTCAACTACCTGGTGATTTCCCACTCTTTGACCTTATCATCTTACTTATACCCATCTAAATCCAACTTCAGCCAGCATAATTGCTTTTGGGGGGTTGACTGAACTGTGATTATGGCTGGTGCAGCCGCTCTCCTAACGCTAGAGATTCAATTTGGTCAAGCTGTCCTAGAGTTTGTAGCGGATTTTTTTAATGAATAAATATGTTTATTAAGAATAAATTAGGAGAATTTGTCTCCTATAATAATTGTAGATATTATATGATAAATTAGTAATCGACATTAGCAGAGTCATAGAGAGAAAGCAGAAAGTCTAGTCACATAACTTTACATTATTAATAACAATTTTCTTACAATCTACAGAGAAGTTTGCCTCTCTTTGAGACGATATACGCCCGGAAAATGCGAAAAATCAGTGGTAAAGGAACCAGAAATCGTCGGCGAGAACTATCTGGGGCAGATGTTAGAAAAGAGTGGGTGTGATTGAAAACCCACTAAGACTGGCTAAGAGGATGATTGAAACATAGGCTTTAATTTATCGAGCTCGAACAGTATGAGCCCTCTATGTTTCTTGATGCGCGATTGCGTAAGTGAACATCCAATAAGACAAACGATGAAGTTGGCTGCGCCGCACCGAGAACGCCTTGTTTGTTCCGTTGGTATTCAAACAAGCTCCCTCCCACGGACAGAGCCAATCATAAGCTGGCACAGCCACCGAACTGAACTGCTACCAACAATGGCCCCAAAACGTAAGCCGGACGAACCACCAGAAATTCAGGTATTTAAACATCGCCTTGACCTCGAATTGCAACTCTCCAACAATCATCTACATTACGGCGATAACTCAGTATCCTTGCCACTCATCCTGACTTCTTCCAACCTTACAACGCTACCTACCTTCATACAAGTTTTATCCAATATGCTAGGACGGCCAGAAGTTGCTACTAGCTCCGGCTTGGCACACCAGGGCTGCTGCATATGTCCAAATGACACGATTTCTACCATTCTACAGGCTACGGCCACCACGAATCATAACCACATCAGCGTCGCGCAAGAGTCCAGCGCCGTAAGTTACGTATCTCGCAAAGTGATCTTGGCTAGTTGCTGACTTCTACGAACTATGCAGATGCTGCACGAGCGACGGAATGGAAGGGCAAGATTGACACAACTGCAGGATAAAGCTATCGCCGTCATGGTATAGCTGCTTTTACGTTACTGGGGGCTGCAAGCTGGTCTTGGTTAAACCCTCCTATCCACTGTCTGTTATAAGACACGAGGTAGTGTACTATAGTGTAGATTACAGGGAGGCCGCTAAGAGTGAACTACGCCTTAGAAAAAGTAATGAACTTATCGTTACCTGCACCTTGTACTTATCCCGGCATATTGCAACTATCTGCTGTTACCCTGTGTTTTATGCAGCATGAAATTTCTGACTTTTGTTACAGAACAGAGAGTGCTGGAGTTGGACCTTATTTCCCTTAACCTAATAGGCCTCTTAAAACGAACTCCCAGACGTAGCCTGGATCAAACATCGATATAGAATTTATAAAAAAAAATATAAAAAAAGGAACAGAGAAACAGGGCACGGCCCCCCTCGGATCAATGACAAGCCAGTAACTTACAACCTGATCTTCTCTCGGAAATATTCCATGGCCCCCGTGTCTCACTCCTCCATAAATTCACCGGCGCTGGCAGTTATCCATTGCTAAACATGACTTGACTATGCTCTGGTAGCCAATTGCCCAGAACGGAAAACCTCACCTTTATTTCATGAAAACCTATTCCGCACATCTTGCAGTTTCCTATCTAGCAATGCGTGAAGGGCCTTATCATACTCACTCATCTCTTTGCGTACAGCTATCTGCTTTTGAGCAGTAGCAACGTTCTTAAACTGGGTTTGTTTCTCGGTTATTGCCTTTTGTGAATACCCCGGGCGAATTTGGCTTGTAGGTGGCTCTGGCTGAGGTAAATTTGCCGTAGGCGGCTGTTGTGAAGACTTGGGAGAGGCAGAGATAGTTTTGTATCTACTATTCTGAACTCCGGTTTTGTTAGCCCCAATTTTTGCCCTCTTGGAGGCCACATTTGCGGCAGAAGACGTAATTGCAGCTGCTGAAACACTTTGAATCTCTTGCTGTCGACCTATCACTTCGGCGAGTCTTTTGACCTCTGGAGGCGATTGTGCAACATCTTCGCTGCTCCCAGGACCTCCCGGCCTGTCACCGCTCGGGGGCGGAACACTGTTATCGGTCGTCTGAGGTTTCCTTTCGTTAGCACGGTTTGCGAACTCTTGGGCTTTGGCAGCCCTCTCAGTCGCATTGGCACTCTTCATTGCCGCGTAGGCCTGAACACCGGCAGCTCCTAGCATAGTTGGTCCAAAAACCCAAGCGGCTATCGCAGTTAGGTTTTCTGCTTGTGAACTGTCGTTTGCTACTTTTGCTGTCGCAGCAGCAGCAGATCGACCGAGCATAGATGGGAACGAAGATCTGAGGAAAGCCATTATTGAGGAGCTCTGTGGCTGGGTCATCATCTCTTGATGAGGCACCATGCCATCAGTCCGATCACCACTAGGCACATGATCTGGAGAGTCTTGACCGGTTTGTCCAGGATGAATCCAACTGTTTGCTTCTTCTTTATCATCGGCTAAATCCTCATCATGTTTCTGCATATGCTCTTCATCTTCGTTGGTATGGATGCTGTCTTCATCGGGGAGCTCGTAACAAAACTGAAACTCGGTATTGACAGTCTCCATATGCATAGCCTTTTCCATTGGGTTGTGTCTAAAGTATTGGCAATGGTCTGGATCCCAAATCCATTTACTGTTCCAGTGATCATTGAGACCAATAATTCTGGACCTTTTTCGTGCAAAGCGATCGCCAACGTGTTTCCAGTCACTCCATGCGACCGTTGAATCTATATCTTTGAGTTCTGCGCTTTCGGGTTTGGTTTCATCGGAGTGAGCGGACATATTGCCAACAAGATTGATTATTTATAGGGATTTGCGTTGTGACAATAATAGACAGTGTCCTTTCAGGCTCAGAACAAGAGATGAAGAAGGTAAGTGAGAGTATTGGGCACTAACAAGCCGCAGCCTGACTTTTCAATAACCATAATCAGGCTCGGCATAATATCGGCTCCGGTCCAAGAGCACAAAACTTCTGGATGTATTTCCAAAGTGAGTTCATGTAATGCGGGGCTGATCACGTACGTCTTACCCTCTCGTCTACGTCTGCATCATGAATAGCCAGTTCATGTAGCTTTCCCATCTACACTATCCCTCTTGGACCTGAGGAGATAACTTTATCATAAGAAAAGAACTTATAGAGTTCAGTAAATGAAGCTATTTTTAGTCATTACCCTATATGTGTCGAAGTGGGACTATTGCCGAGCTATACTCTGTAGATCCTGGGCACAGCCACTCTTCAGCCTCATCCAGCAACTGCGCCACGTGCTTTACGTTGTTTACCGCGCTGCCGCGTATATAACGTCAGCGCCCGTCAGCTGAACGCCAACCTTAATTCCTCAATAACAACCTCATATCATCGACATAAACCCAATCGCACACCTGTAGGGGCTTATCCTATCCACCATCAGAATGTCTTCCTCTCAATCTGCGCCACAAGGACTGTCCGACATGAGAACCCCTCAGTCTCTCGAGACCAATCAACCCAAGTCTCAGCAATCAATGGGTATGACAACAACGCGCTCCGACTACCGTCACGCCAAGTTTTAGTACTTGATACTGACATCTTGCAGATCCCCAGAAGCCCCCCGAGACAGCAGATCCTCAAATGGAACTCCGTGGAGGCGGTGCTTGTGATGGCAGACTCTGTGGCATCATTCCATGCCCGATCCCCATCAACTGCTGGATCATTCCTTGCCCTTGTTAGAAGGATAACCTAGATGGAGTCTTTCGGTCATTCTTTGCGTTTTCGTTCTGCAAGATACTCATCGTTACATATTGCTGGGATAATTAGTTAAACAATGCTGGTTTTTTTACTCAATACCTTGACGACGCTCATGACGTCATCCCCTCAAAGTGCCTGGAATCTTCCGTGAGCCACGCGTTGCTGTTATATGAAGTTTAGACCTTCGCAAAATCCACACGGTTCACGTCTAGTATTGGGATCTCTTCCTGCAACTTAATAAATCATATTATTTCTTTACTACAGCTCATCAAACTATCGCGTTCAATCTTGACCAACAATGACATCGCTGCTGCGAGGTTTGGGCAGGACCGTGAGCTTCTCCATCTTACCAGCCTTCACGATACCCTCGACCGTGGTATTATGCGGAGCCCAAACTTTGAATCGCGCGTCCCAAGTCTTGGGCCAAGCAGCAAGCAATCTAATGTCGTTTCCAACAAAAGTCTGAATGAGCTGCTCCTGCAGTCCAATGGCCGCAGAACCGTAGTGATTCAAATCAGGTGTCCAATCGAAATTGGGGCCCTTAAAAGTCGGAAACTTGCACACTTTACTTGGTGCGTACCGCTCCTCTGTCATGGCGGTCGCGTTGGCTGTGAATCCCATTCGTGCAAGCCAAATAACATCTTGCTTCCAGCCAGTGTTACCGTGGAATGAGAATGTCTCGGTGTCGTAGAGATAAGTGTTGATAGCGTGCGTGAGGTTGGGAAGACCAAGACCGTATTCGGGCCAAGGGAAGACAGTGTAAAGTTGAGGAACTTCGCTGTTTTGAACGCGTGTGTATGCTTCGGCGGGAGCAATGCAAGTGTGACCTTGCTGCTGGCGCAAAGTGTTCGCAGGGATCTTGGCCAGGTACTTGGTGTAATAGGTCTTGTTCTGAAGTGCATACTCGTCGACGATGAGAAGATCTTTGACAACTTGACGCAGACCAGCCAGGGTGGAGACGGGATTATATGACTCTTTGTATGTCTCGGCACCAGAGCCTGGATATATGACCAGAGATTCGTTGCCAGCCATACCGGTTAAGGGCCAAGGGTTGCGCTTCTGCATTTCCCGAGTGTAGAATTTGTCGAACCAAGCCAGTTGATACTCGATGAATTCGAGGTATGGCTTTACGTCGAAGCCAGAGTAAATGTTGGCCTGCAGGATCATATCGGCGAACTCACTAAAGTCAATTGTTAGAAACACTTCACCGGAAGGAAGATAATTGGGCAACACTTACTTGGCCGTATCCTGCACATGGTTCAGCCAGACATTCCACAACTCACCATCAGGAAAGAAATCAGGCCGCGGAGTATTAGCATCATCATCGTACCACTGCGCATTATACTCAAACACATTTGACAAACCAGTGTTATCGATCTGCTCCAAGAAGTACGCAGCATCGATATCCTGGTAGACCTGACCGCGAAGAACGGCATTGGGAGTGATGCGCTTGTAAAAGTCAAACTGCTGCGTCATGATATCAAAGTCACCAGATCGCAGAAGAGGCCAGTATAGTAGACGTTGGTTCTGGGCAGTGAAGGTACCGCCTCCCCAACGGCGATAGTCGGGTGTGTAGGGACGCCAAATATTGACATAGATGGGATCAAAAGTCCAAAGACCGCCATTGAACTTCGTGGGCCAGTCACCCTTGGCATTGCATCCCATGAGATATCGCCAGATCTGGTAGTTTTTGCCGACCTGGAAGCCTGAATCCTTCTCGCCCTTTTCCTCATTGATGATGATATATGATCGTGCCCAGTAATTGTGCCACCAGGTCAGAGTCGCGTCCTGGGTGTTCTTGACCGCGGACTTAATCACCTTCTGGAGTCCTTTGTACCACTCATCGTGACTCTTGGTCTGAGCCTGATACATTGACAATGTAACCTTGAAAGACTTGCTAGGAGATTTGGTCTCAAGATTCCAAGCTTTGTAAGTAGTGTTGATGTAGTGACCATTTGTGATGACACCGGGTTTCAACTGCTCGGAATGGACAAAGATGCCAAACTCATTGTTGCGCATGGGGTTGTACATCTTATCAGAGTGCTTCTCAAGTCCTTGCTGCTTCATCTGAAAGTTCCATAGATCCAGCTTCTCGTTACGATGGCTCATAAGGACACCATTCTCATGGAAGCCAATCTTGTCGGCGTAGGTGGTGCCGTTTGCGATCTTGGAGGTGTAGATGCCCCATGAACCTTGGTTGCGCTCCTCATTGATGATTTCGCGGTCTTCGTAGCGCCAGTTTTCGTAGGCGACCTTGACAGCGATCCTCTCAGGGCTATCGACCTCGATGTGCACAACGGGATTGAAGACGTCAACCCAAATCTTGGCAGTCGCATTGTCCTCACCAGTGTACTTGACATAACCATCGTTGAGTAGTAGCCTTTGCTCGAACGACTTGCTGTCAAACGGATTGGGGTCAAAGGAGAGTCTGACGCGACCCAGCTTCAGCAGAGAATTGTTCTCGTCAAAGGTTCCGCTCTTGGCGATGTACATGAGAATAGTGCCTGTTACAAGATGTATCAGTAATTAATAAATCTTTGGCCACAACCAGAATTACAAATTGCGTGCTCAGGCATGTTGTCGACGGGCTGACGGCTGACTGACCATTCTCGTACCAAGTGTTAAGGCCAATATCACCGCCACCAAGAGGCATGGAGTCGGCTGAACCATTGACACCAGGTTTATCCCAGATAACATCGTATGATGCAGGGAGCATCGCCAGAACACTCGTCCAGAAAAGGAACAACACTGGCAGGAACCGATTTAGGTAACCCATTGTGAGTAGTATATCACCTCTAAGATGGGATAGTACTCCGTACTCTCGTGCCCAGAGAAAGCGCGTGGCTACAGATGTTTCTTAAGTACCTAGCTACCCCTCTCTGATATACACAACGGTAGATTTCCATACATCCTTGAACCTGGAATACCCCCCTGGGTTACGCCAGGATGGTAGTGTAAAGTGGGAATGACAGCGGCATCATGACATTGAGCACTGCCTAACGAGACCGGATGTCATGTGGCGAAACCCGGTGATCTGAACGAATGCGGGGAAAGAAGAACGACAATTACCCCCGCAATTCCATGGCTATCAATTACTTAGATAGTAAGATAGTCTTTGTAGTCACGTCGTATCTCGGCTAAAAGGCCATGAGTTTCCGATCAAGGTGACATAGCTTGATTCGTGAGATATTAGCGCCCGGTAAACCTCGGCGAACTATACCGGTCAAACAACAAAGAATTTGTCGACGTCAGATAAGGGCGACCGGCATACCGAAATTGACTTGAGATAAAGACACCATATTAATTTCTTTAGTGAGATTTATAGGAGCCGATAGGATAAAAAGATGAGCTAAATTAGTTCCTCCCACTTAAGCCCCTTATGATCAGATATCCCAATCCTCTTTGATCATAGTTGCACCATGCTCACCCAACATGTACACCGGGCCAGCGATATTAACGTCTGGAACTGTCGGCATGATGCTACTATCAATAACCCTCAGGCCCTGCACTCCATAGACTCGAAGTCGGGAATCAACAACGCCGCCGTCCTCGAGTGGAAGCATGCGATTAGTTCCAGAAGCGTGCCAATTAGGAACCGTTGTAGCTTTGATGTACTCAAAAATAGCTTCATCGTCGTCCGAAGCAACGTTGGAAACACCTGGAGCAACCTCTCCATGGTTAGGCCCGACAGTTAAATTTGCAAAAGCAGAATGGGCAAGGATCTTCCGTGCGTCGCGGAACGCGTTGATGGCGATAGCGCGATCAGCGGGGTGAGTGTAGTACTGAAAACAGTTAGTGTTGGACAATTAATGAGAGCTGCAATCATGACAACATACGTTGGGGTTGATGATGGGGGCATCGGACATGCCGCTGGACTGGATGGTTATATTGCCTTTAGATAGTGCAACCATACTCGAGACAGAGATAGATATGTACGAGCTATCAGATGATGGTTCGTAGGTGGGACCTGGACTATTAGGATAGAAGAAGGATTCAAAGAGGAACTCTACTGTAGACCGGTTGGTAAGGCCAGCATCGACGACGGCTTCAGCACCAATGTTTCGAAGTTGTGTGTTTGACAGCTCTTGGAAGCCATTGGTAATACCTCCAGGTGCTGTGTAGACTCCCTTGCCAGTGGTGTAGTATTCCTCTTGCGAGGCTTCGACGGCGGTTGAGTTAAACATAAGCTGATGAGTTGAAGCTTCGGGAACTACTGTGGCTGAGATGCTGTACAGGTTATGATCCATCATGCTACATGCTGTAAGAATATGTCGTATAAACAAGGACTTAAGATGACCTACTGCTGTCCCACATTTTCATTAATGACAACTGGCTCTATATTGAAAGCGTCAAGCGTGGCCTCCGGGCCAATACCCTGTCATCTTGTTGGCTCCTATCTTGGCAAATGCAAGGGCAATCAGTCACTGGAGGGTGTTCTTACCGAGACCATCAGCATTTGGGGCGACTGAAAAGTTCCCAGGGTGACGACAATCTCCTTTGAAGCGGTAGCAGTGCGGTGACGACCTTGAGAGTGATCAATGAAGTTGACGCCAGTCGCAACGGGGAATCCAGTAGCATTCTTTGAGAAGATGATCTGCTGGACAGGGGCGTTGTGAAGAATGTCGACATTAGGCCGTTTGCTGGCTGCCTTGTAATAGTCGTAGGCTGAGCTACGTCGGTACTTTGAGGTCAGAGTGGCAGTTCCTTGTTTAACGCCAACGTTCTTCCCGTTGTTGAGGTCCGGGACTATGGGGATATTGACCGCTGCGCAAGCATCGATGAAAGCAATGCTCGAGGGTGGGACGTATCCTTGGTAACCAATTTCTAGTGGACCATTGGAATATGCTGAGGGGTCCCAGGTCTGATACCTTTGGTTGTAACCCGTTCCATTATTGGGAGCATTGAAGTGAGTACTCTGTTCCCTAAATTAGCGGAATGACTTGCAATCGTAGGTGACGATGCTTACCTTGATGAAAGATGGATACACGTCTTCCCAGCTCCAACCTGGATTCCCTAGCTCAACCCAATGATCGTAGACATTAGCCGAGCCCCTTCCGTAGTAGAGTCCGTTGAGGATACTGCTACCACCAAGACCGCGTCCGCCTACAAGGGTTAGTACTATATGATCTGATGGAATATGGCACTTACGATGGTATGCAAGTTTACGACCATCCAGTCCTTCTTGAGGCTCCGTATAGAAGTTCCAGTCGATGGCCGTACCTAAAGTAAAAGGTCAGCGATTCTTGAACAGCTCATCATTATATTTGAGCTTACCAGCGATGTATTCAACAGCACCAGGCGCTTGATGCATGGCCACAACATTTGGATCAGATCCAGCTTCCAGCACGAGTACCTTCTGATCACCAGACTCACTCAGCCTATCTGCGAGGATGAGACCAGTAGTCCCACCTGTGATGCAGCCATTGTTATTAATTGAAGGTACCGGATGAGGTGAAGACCTGCACACTTACCACCCACAATCACGAAGTCATACGTGCTACTGAGAGTAGACTCATGATCGTCTCGTGCAGTGATTGATGAGACTTGTGATAAAAGAAGCACTGAAGTAATGGCAAACCGCATAATGAAGACTGAGAGGAGGAGCTGGGAGTGTCGAAGATGAAGGAACAGTGTACAGCAAACAACTTTTGATCACGTTGTTAATAGCTCGCTTTATAGATTATGTCTCCAGCGATTGAATCAGTCGTCAAGAAACACTTTGACTTTCAACCTCTCGTGTCCAAGCACGAAATCTGGCGCCTAGTTTCTCCTCTAGCTACTGTATGGCTAGGAATTAGGTAAGAGCAAAGCCGCGTATCCATCTTCCTGACTTGACGGGTAGGCAATGAGCCCATCTTCGTAAGACGGTGGAATAGTTTCCATGACCAAGATCTTGACAATCTGTGTAACCATAACCAAGTGGATTCGTATAACCTACTGAGTCAACATACTCTAAGCCCTAGTACCGACATAGACATAACCTCCGCCTGTGGAACACTTCTAAGCTTGTTCTTCGCGAGATATGAGACTCCAGACCGTGTATAAGACACTGTGTGATATCCTCGAATCGGGTTCCCAATACTAGTAAGCATCGGGGACGATCATTCAGTCAGAGCTTACTATAGCATTTTCCATAGTCAACTGCCGTGTTTTAGGAATGCGGAGCGAGACTGAAAGGAACAGTTAGAAATAACGGTTCAGGCAGGGTATGACGGAGCCGAGCCGTCGCAGAAGGAATGCATATGCAGTGACCAAATTCTCCACCGAATTTGGGATCCCGCGGAACGAGTCTGTCGCGGAGATCGTTGAGCTAACTTTATGTTGCAGTGAAATCCTTCAGGATCACGGGCCAGGGGTTCATTGGAGCGCGTTTGCAACATCGTGAGTCTGAGTGGATGCTCTGTAAGCGACCCTGTATGCAACGCAAGAATCTATGGATACAACAGGAAAAGTGTTACATTCGCCACTGAAGCCAGGCTGCATTGTCATCAACCCGCGCTGCATTATGTCCCTCTAAATCCGAACCTGGCAGTCAATCACATAAGCGCAGGGTGAGATCCTCTGACAGGCACTTTTCTTACTGCGTGCAGCTTTTAGGATTTGAAATAGGGTGCGGCATTTAGAAGATGTGACGTGCATTAGTCCTACCGCGTCATTAGGAATGGATATACGCGATAACGGATACTACTATAGGCTGACATGACCTGTAAGGCTGATGTGAGTCGATGCAGGGGTTATGTACTCAGACCCTAAGGGTGTGCTGTCAACGGCAAATATTGCATAAGCATCCACGTCGTCACCGCTTACGTGAAAAGAGAAAAGAAGAAATACGATAACAATGCGAAATGTTGTGTCAAGATTTCAAGTAATGCTTTGCAATAGCAGGTAAGAATATGATATATCATAATCCATTTATTGTCAACCTTCGTTCTCACCCCTTCGCTCATTGCTCGTTTCCAGTAACATCGTCTTCGATCACGGTCACACAGGAACAAAATCTACCACGATGGGATCCCGTCCTGAGAAGGTTAGCAACTGTTTTCCATTTTACACTAACACCATTAACTAATGAACTCAATGAAGATAACAACGCTCCTTCTGGATTGCGACAATACCCTTGTGCAGTCAGAATCTCTTGCGTTCGAAGCAAGCGCTGATCTCACCAATGAGATATTCGCTGCCCGTAAAGTTAACCTGAGCTTTACGGGCCGCTATTTGCAACGAGAGTTTGTTGGACAAAACTTCCAAAACATGGTGAGTGACCAATTCCAATAGTAGCTACGCACAATTGACTGAATCGCTGTTGATAGATTCGCGCTATTGAGGCCAAGTTCAATGTCTCGTGCAACATCTCGGATGAGGAGCTGGAGCATTATGCCAGCATGGAAGACGATCGCGTCATCTCCAAGCTTATGCAAAAGTTGGAACCATGTGAAGGCGCCAATGCTGAACTGGAGCGTCTCAAAGGACACTATCGACTCGCTGTAGTATCTTCATCAGCGCTGCGTCGCGTGCGCTCTTCTCTTGATAAAGCTGGCCAAGCCGACTTCTTCGATCCAAACGACGTTTTCAGCGCTGCAGACTCGCTTCCTGTTCCTACTTCAAAGCCTGATCCAGCTGTGTATCTACACGCCTTGAGGACTATGGATAAGAGCGCTAGTGAGTGCGTTGCAGTCGAGGACAGTCGCTCTGGTGCAAGCTCTGCTAAGTGCGCTGGTATCATCACGGTCGGCTACACTGGCGCATGCGACACGCCCAAGGAGGCTGAGGCACTGCGTGTAGTTCTTGAGAACGTGGGTTGTAAGTTTGTCATGAGTAGTTGGGATGAGTTCCCAGATATTTTGTGCAAGATTGAGACTCATCTCACGGAATGATGCAATTTCAAGAGACCATACCGTATTCAGGGCTAGGCTATATAGAATTAAAGTATACTTGAACCTATCAGTTTCAGTATCGTTAGTCTTCTGAAGCAACCTCCAGTTCATCCATGTCTTACAAAATTTAGAGTCTTTAGGTAGACAACCACTGAAATCCTATAGCTTTTGCTAAGTGTTGCATGAGAAAACCACAACTAGGGTACTTCATGCGAGAAATATCAAAACCGTAGCAGACACTGTTTTAGAAAGTTTAAATGCGCGATAAAAGAACAAGCTTTAATTAGATGATGTATAGTAACTCTAAGTATATGCCTCGCACTGTTTTCTCTTCTAGCCTTGCACTACCGCTCAAACATTCTATGTTTTTCTATCATACGTAGAGTTCTAACTGCCATCCGTCTGGTCCTTCTCCACTGGCCTGCGGGGAAGAAGCAGCCACAAACAGCCAAGAACGACGCAAATAGCGAGGACAATGGGTTGAAGTGTCTGCACTCCCTTAGCCTGTGCAATGGCGCCAACGGCAAAAGGCAATATTGCACCGCCAGAACCACCGAAGGAAGCAGCGAAACCGATAGTCCCGACATGGAGAGAGCGGGGCATGACCTTGGTAATGAGAACAACTGCAACAGGATACATTGGCCCTAGACATTATAATGTTAGCTATGAGCAATCCTGCATAGAATCTGTGATGAAAACATACCCATGGCAACGCCAATTAGTGCTGCTGCTACTGCACTAACGACCAGGTTCGGCACCAGCCAAAAGACAAGCTCCAAAGCAATAGTTACTCCGATGTATAAAAACATGGCCCAGAACTCTCCCAGCCGGACTGTTACCAAGGATAAAAAGAGGCGCCCGACTGTCATTCCGCCCCAAAACCCCGTGGCCACGGCACTGCCGACGATAGCTGAGGCGTTACGTCTTTTCTGCATGAAGACAACCACCCAACCACCAAGAGCCACTAGGAAAAAGATTGTCAGTAAATGTAACAACGAGAGAGAAGTAATTCAGTACTCACCTTCAGCTCCACAGTATCCAAACACAAAAAAGGCAAAAATCCACGACAGCTTGTTCTTTAGGACCTGTCGCATTCGACCTGATTTAGCCCCAGATGCTGAGGGCGCTTCAGACAAGTAGACGGCTCCAGTCTGTGTCCAAAACGTGATTGTCAAGGCGATGAGCTCTACGACCGACGCAGCCGTCATGACATAGAAAAATGCATACCAGCCTGGCATACCTTCTCCAGAGAGACCAGTCGCGACAAGAGGAGCAATGGTAGCACCAAGGGCGTAACACGCCTGTAGAATGCCAGACATCTCGTGCGAGTTCATCATCTGTCCTATGAAAGAACACCACGCGGCATCAGCAAGTCCATTTCCTATGCCGACAAGGACATACATGGAAATCTAAAGAACAGCCATTAGCCATTTTGGACTCTAACTTTGAGAGTGTAGTGTCACCTACCATGACGGGGTACGGGGGATGGAAGGAAAAAATGAGATATGGTACAATATGACAAAGGGGAGCAAGCAACGCTACGCCTCTTTGACCAAAATGCACATGCATTAGGCTGTTGATAGCAGAAGCGATAGCATAGCCAACAAAGGGTGTTAGGAACACTAAAGACACGAGGGTATGGTTTTTGTGGTAATAATCCTCAAGCTGTGATAAATAGTAAGCCACGCCTAGTTCACCACAGAGGCATCAAGATAATACTCACCAAGGGAACCAAAGCCTAAGATATCATAATTAGCAATCGCGCTCGTAGAAGGAAGAGCCAATCTTACACCATAAGACCCATCATTCATTCCTACAACAAGAAATGACCAGAATGTCGCCGCAGTACGATATTTGTTGATAGGAGGATAGTTCCATTTTGGCGGAGCAATAGTCTCCTGGGATGAACCATTGGTTTCGACTCCCTGTTGCGCAAAGTCGACTGGTCGTCTGCCTTCTTCCTCACCGCGGTGCGAAAGGCGAGGAAGAGACTCTAGGTCAATTGCATCAGTAGCTGAGCCAGCTGCTGTCAAATTGATACTCGTCATGATGGAGATTACCGTTCTTGATTCTGAGTAAGATGTTGAAAGAATGGCTCTTGATTTTGTTATTATAATTCATTGCGATTGCTGATGACAAAACTAATTTCTTTGAGTAATAGAAATTACACTGTTGATCACGCAAGTCTGAATTTCACTGTATCTTGTGTAACATGGCAAAAGAACCTTGTTTGTTTAGTTTTCTCCCTTGCTCTCTCAATGTCTCTTTGTTGAGGATCTCGGCAAACACAAAGAGCGGAGATGATGTTGTGGCAAGAAAGCAACTATTGTCGTAATAGAGTGGGTTGCATGTAAGCGGAATCCTCCAGGCTTCCAAGTTGGGTATTCTCGCCAGGCGACGATAATTGGTAGGAAGGCATGCATACTTCGGCATCCGCGATACAGTAAGCATTACGCAGGTTCAAAAGATTAGTGGATCTATTGGATATGCTTATTATCCCTGCTTATTACCGTGAATGCTCCCAAACTGTGTGGGTACCTGTGGGCCATCACATCCCGCGACTCCAGTAATGAAGGATCTTGTGTGGGGGTTCACTCCATGGGGAGATTTACACGACCGACAGGGGTCTCAGAGATAATTGGGCTTCACGCTCGCGAATGGTTCCTTCTAGGATCTGACATGTTCTGCATGCAGCTGTGAGCTATATCTCTGCGTAAGCATAGCGTTACATTAGTGCCAGAAGCAGAAGCGATTACCGATTTCTCACTGTGAGTCGTAGTCAGGCCTTGAAACATGAAGCTCTACTCCACAGCCGTGTCATTATCACCAAATCCAGGTTTCTTTCGTGTAGAGTACCCTTACGGATGTGGAGAGCAAGAACACCTATCATAGCTCCCGTATCTGTCTGTGGGAGCATGAGGCTGTAATCTGTAGACTCGGGATATGTCAGAGGTCTTGGTGGTGTATGCGACATTGTAAGCGATGGTGAATGTCCTAACGTAGAGGGAAGTGACAGGATGGCTTCGTGTTTGCTGTAAGCGCGTGAAAGGAGTTTGATTGTTGATACCGGGCATTAACCTGCACCGTACAAAGGCCGCCTCTAATTGAAGAATAAGTATAAAGCCTCTCTTGATACTCACCTATAACGCTTCCTCAGAATATAGCTTTCCTCTTATTTCAGAACTAGAATTCAAACTTACATCTTTCATCACCCTAACCTTCTCTTATACCACAATGGGATCTCTTGGCCCCCTTATCGACGAGCCTATCATCTCGGAGAACTCTCTATTCTACCAGAGCGTCTACCCTTCTGCAGCACCAACAGTTGAATCTGCTGATGGGCTTTACTTCACATTGAAGAATGGCCAAAAGATCATTGACTCTACAGGCGGAGCTGCTGTTTCTGCCATCGGCCACAACAATGCGAGAGTCAAAAACGCCATTATTAAGCAGCTGAATAAGTTCACCTATGCTCATCCTGGTTACTTCCAGAACAGCCCTTCTCATGAACTCGCCGACATCCTCGTCCAATCTACTGGCGGCGAATTGTCGAGAGCATGCTTCCTCGGCTCTGGTGAGTATTCTTTCTGAGTAGAGTAAGACATTGTCTAACATGAAAAAAGGTTCTGAGGCGGTCGAAGCCGCCATGAAGCTTGCCCGGCAGTACTTTCTTGAGAAGGACCCAGGTGCACCTCGTTCTCACTTCATAGCCAGACAGAGCTCCTGGCATGGATGTACCATGGGAGCCTTGGCTGTCGGAGATCTTAAAGCCCGAAAGGAACCTTTCCTTGACGTTCTCGCCACTAATGTCAGCCACGTCTCTCCTTGCCACCCATACAGGGATCTTGAAGATGGCGAGACTGAGGAGCAATATGTTATCAGACTGGCTCAAGAGCTGGATGATGAGTTCCAGCGGATTGGTCCCCAGAACGTCTGCGCTTTCATCTTGGAACCCATGGTTGGGACTGTAAGTCACTTTCTATGAGCTCCTACAAATGACAGAGCTACTACTAACCCACGTTAGGCTCTGGGTTGTGTTACTGCACTCCCTGGATATCTGGCTGCCATGAAGGCTGTTTGCCATCGTCATGGCGCACTCATTATCTTCGATGAGGTCATGTGCGGTCTCGGACGAACTGGACACATGCATGCCTGGCAATACGATGGCGTAGTCCCTGATATCCAAGCTGTTGGCAAGGGGTTAGCTGCCGGCTACGGTACTATTTCAGCACTCCTCATCCACGACCGCGTTATCGATGGTCTGAAGCAAGGGAGTGCATCCTTCCAGCACGGTCAGACCTACCAGTGTCATCCTCTCAACGTAGTCGCCGCTCTGGAGGTGCAGCGCATCATCCGAGATGATGACCTCGTCCGCAATGCTCGCCTCATGGGTATTCTCCTTGGACATCTACTCCACCGAGCTTTTGACAGCCACCCTAACGTTGGTCAAGTTCGCGGTCGTGGTATGTTCTGGTGCATTGAGTTCGTCGCTGACAAGGCCACCAAGCGGCCATTGGATCCGAAGCTGAACCTCGCTCGTCGAATGCGACTTCGCGGTCTCGAGAAGGGCTATGACGTATGCCTCTTCTCATCTACTGGATGTGCTGATGGCTGGAATGGTGATCACTTCTTGTTGGCACCTCCTTTCACCGTCACGCCCCGTGATGTCGAGGAGATTGTGTACCGTGCATCTCGTGTTGTTGACAGTGTGTTTGAAGAGGTCAGAGCGAAGGGTGAGATCTTAGCCTAGATGAGGTTGCGAATTATTCTTGGCCAGAGTCCTAGAAGCTTTGATCTATCTGGATCCTGATTGGGGAGTTTCATAGTATCACAACAGTAGAGAGGGAAAATAAAATAGAATGAGCACACCCCTTATTATTTACAAGTCATACTCCTAGTAAGAATCAGACTAAAGACCTCGAAATGGCTGTAGAATTTCTTGACTTCGCTTGTGTATTTCCATCAGGTGCTGTGGAGTGTCGTAACACGGGAGGGTACGTGGAGTAATAGCCGAGGACCACTCTCCACCTTGATGATATGAGCTTACCCTGGTTACCTCAACGTAATACATGACATCTGGGCGTTCCCCTCATCTGTTTGCTTAAGTAACCAAGGCTGACATAGAGAATAAAAGGGCGTTTGCTGACCATTTCATACCTTTCGCATTCCTCACATTCTGGAATTATCACCTTCCATTTTAACCCATACCAAGCGACGAAAAAAGCCTTTGTACTACAGTCTTCTCACGCCAAAATGTCTACCAATCAAAAACAGCTCACCCCACCTTTCATTGTTGAGGCTGGACCAGGGACAGACATCTGGCGAAAGCCTGGGCATAACGCGTGGAACAGTAAGTCAAGCTAGACTATGCCACTCTCACTCAAGCTTACTCATTATGGCAGTTCCCGACGTCCATACCATCTCGGGCCCACTCAAGGCTTTTGTTTCTGCTCGTGTCACCTTCTCTGCTAAGTGGGAGAATCTCTACGACCAGTCTGGCATCGTCATCGTGCCACGTAAAGCATCTGACCCAGCGGCTCCTCACAGCAAGTGGATCAAGTCGGGTATTGAGCTCTACGCTGGAAAGCCTCACTTGAGCACTGTCGCCTGTGATAGGTTCGCCGATATGAGTCTGTACCCTGTGACGGCCACAGAAGGTCAGAGTATTACCCTGCAAGTAGCAAAGGAAGGTGGTAATGTTTGGATCCACCAGCTCATTCTGGATGATGATGGAAGTGTTAAGGAACGATTGCCATTGAGGGAAATTTGCTGGATTCTTTGCGAGGAGCAGGATGATTGGGTCTTGGATGTAAGCGCCTTGGCAGCCAGACCGGATAAAACTGCGAAGGGTCCTCTGAAAGTCGAATTCAGTGACTTTCAGGTGCAGTGGAAAGAGTAAATGGATATTCTAACATTGCCTTTTATAATAGTAGATTATCTTGAGGAAATACGCATGAGATATTTATCTACGCTAAGCTATGCAGCTCACAATGCGGCCAAGATTGATAATAATCGACCTTGTGGAATGATGCTAATATCATTCTTGTGATTCTATCTAGATTACTTATAGTAGAGCTTCTTTCCCTCATGTTATTTGTGGACGTTGTCGCTCCAGTATTTTGAAGGATTTCGAAGTCCTGCACTCTGCTGCCATTCTCGACCGCCTTCCTAAACCATGAGTTGGCTGACTACCCCGCGCCTCAAACGCTGCTGACCTTGACGAGATCTTTGATGGCTATCGATAGGGCTCATATATCACAAAGGTCGCCTTAGCAAGATTTGGTATCTGTTGCACACGACATCCTCCTGCACGCTTCCAACATACCTCACGATAGCCTATAGATCAGTCACTCCAAATTCGTACAATATCATCCGGGTTAACAACACCGATGGACAACAGGCCAGGCCCGCCAACAGACCCTACATGTCCAGTGTGTTATTCACTGGTCCTGGAATATGATACAGCAGTTAGAGGTTTGACTATATCTATGAGCGATCTCAAGGAATCAGCAAAAGCTACTCCATGCTCCGCTTGTGCTCTCTTATGGGAAGCGATTGGCACTGCTGTGAAAGAAGAAACAACTATGCCAGAGGTGCTTTATGAATCAATACTCGTCGAAAGCAAACCATCAAAGCACCCAGGGCCCATGGTTGTCCACCTTTACCCAGATCCCGTTGCACATGCTGTCAGCGAAAAGACGTTTCAACTATACACAACTGATAGTAAGTTAAGCAGACCTTTGCCCGGATGATATGATATCTGACTGAGTACAGATGACGTCTCTCTACCTTGGGAATTGATCGGTCGGGCATATCATATACCAGAATACGGGTTAGCTCCAAGTTGTGTGTCTTTAGCGCGCGAGTGGCTCGACGCATGTGGCCACGCCCAAGGAAAACATGCGAACTGTACCAAGACCACCATCTCAACGCTACCAACAAGGGTCATATTAGTTGGGAACGACAAAGTATCACCCAGGCTTGTGGTCACTGAGCCCAACCAGCAAGCGCACTATGCAGCTCTGAGCCACTGTTGGGGAGGGAAAACGCCAACAATGACCACTTTAGCCAATCTAGAAGCATACACTATTTCGCTTCCTGGAAACCTCCCACGAACCTTTGAAGATGCTCTGAAAGTGGCTCGAGCGCTGGAGATTCCTTACATATGGATTGACTCCTTGTGTATTATCCAGGATTCTCCAGAGGACTGGGAGCAAGAAGCCTCGCGAATGGCTCAAGTATATGCCAACGCCCATGTGACCATATTTGCCGACGCTGCACCGGACAGCACATCCGGCTTTTTGTCGCCACCATCACGAAACGCTCCCAAGAGGTTCCTTGTGCCATACAGAAATGACCAATCCAGCTCGGGTGTTGTGCATATCCGCGAGCGTGGATTCTTAGCCCAGCAACTTCCGTATCATACATGGAGTAGTAGAAGAAGTGGTTTAGGTCAAAGCAAGTTATCAACGCGGGGTTGGGTGTTTCAGGAACGGTTACTGTCACCGCGAACCCTCCACTTTTCGCGGAACGAGATGGCTTGGGAGTGCAGATCCGTATGTGAGTGTGAATGCTCAGCGACGTCTCTGAGGACTCTCCGCACCACAAGTGTGATGAAGCACTTTCTCCATCCTCAGGATCCTGATGTTTCTTTGGCTGAGGCCAACTGGAGGTCTGAAATCGTCCCCGCATATACGGAGCTAGACCTCACCTTCGCGACTGATAGACTCCCCGCTATTCAGGGCCTAGCTAACGCTACCCAAAGACTCAGAGGTAATGATGAATACATTTCTGGCCTTTGGCGAAAAACAATAAAGGCCGACCTTTTGTGGCATCGAAATGCAGGTGATGGTAATGCTCAAAGAATCAAGGATGGGGGTGCTCCAACATGGTCGTGGGGATCTGTCACTGGGCCAATCTACTACTCAGACAGGATCTTACCCAGTGATTCAGATTTGCAGATTCTGGATATCATAACCAGCGAAGAGAAAAGCCCGGTCCTCGTCATCCGTGGCCATCTCGTTAATGTGAAACTTGAGGATCCTTACAGTGACACTGTATCTTTGGGACCCGATGACGATCTAAGAGTGGAATGGGACTCCGAGGGGCTTCAAACTAAATCTAAAAAAATATCACCATATTTCTTGGTATTCGAGGCAGATGATGGGGGACCGTTTGGCCTATTACTCAACGCCGATCGAAACAATCCAACAGGTCAGCAATTTCGGAGAGTCGGATATGTCCACGGGCATAGCATCTCGAAGTGGCGTCGCTCATGGGGTAGTGGTGGTTGGGCATCTAGTCCGGATAGCAGTGCGTCTGATACTTCAGGTGGAATATGGGAGGATGCTGGTAAGGAGGGGGCGAGAGAGTGGGTTGATGAGATATTCAAAGGCGAACCTGTAACTTTTAAATTGTTCTAGAGACTATTGGTCATTTCAAGATGTGTATTTCTCCTTGATCATTGGAAGTCCGATTTACAATATTTACGGCTACAAAAGCATTGGGCTTGAACGTGAACTGGAAGTCCTGGAGATAAACAAAACGGCGGTGAGTACTGCTCGAAGAATACTATACATAAGGGACAAGGAAATCCGGTTTGGCGCATGAGCACAACGAGACCTGCTTGTTGAGGAGTTTTGGAATTGGAGGAGAAACTTAGATCAGCTGAAACCCGGTCTTCTCAACATTTTGTTGAGGAAGATGCATATGGATAGACCCTGTTCAAGTTGGTGACATTCCCATCTGCCGACATACTCGTATACAACCCCTGAAACGCGGCTTGCATCCGGTATGCAATATCAGCTTCTAGAGATGTCTCATGAGAATCACCAAACTGTGATTCGATACAACACGTGGCTCACCGACTGGAACTTTCCGTCTGCAGCCATCCGATTGGCTAGAGCCTGTTAGCTTACAAGACCCTTTCCCCTTGGGCTGAAATGCATTGCTATGGTTACTTCCACGAGGCATTGAATCTTGAGCGATTGACTTTCATTGGTGAAACTGAAACATGTTCATGCGTTATGCGGTTCCGCGCCCGTTTACCCCGGACTTTTGCGGCCGCTACCCCGCACGTTCACAGCGGCCTGATGAGTTGCCTGATCCGCGAGGTCAGACCACTGCTGATCAGATGGAAGCTATATAACAGGTGATGCCAGAGACATCTCATGTTTCTTCTGGAACCATCAATTGACCTCTAGAAACACCATCTCTATACTAAAAAAAATTAAAATGAAGGCTCTCGTCTACGCCGGCAATGGCTCTGTCACCCTGCAGGATCGTCCTGTCCCCAAGATCGCTTCACCAACAGATGCAATCATCAAAGTCACCAAGACCACCATCTGCGGAACCGATCTGCACATCCGAAAAGGCGATGTCGCTACCTGTGAGCCAGGAAGAGTTCTAGGTCATGAAGGCGTTGGCATTGTCCATTCCGCAGGCCCGTCTGTTGCACGCTTCAAAGAGGGCGATAGAGTTCTCATCTCTTGCATTTCAAGCTGCGCGACCTGTGAATACTGTCGAAGAGGAATGTATAGCCATTGCACCTCTGGTGGATGGATCCTTGGCAATACAATCGATGGAACTCAAGCTGAATATGTCCGCATTCCCCATGCCGACTCGAGTCTCCACCCTATTCCTGATGGGGCAGATGAGGCTGCGTTGGTAATGGTCAGCGACATCTTCCCAACCGGTCTTGAAGTTGGCGTTCTCAGTGGCAAAGTCCAACCTGGAGGGACTGTAGTTGTTGTTGGCGCTGGACCGGTTGGCTTGGCTGCTATTATCACTGCCCAGCTATACTCACCGTCTAGGATCATCGCCGTTGATATGGACAATGCAAGACTTGATGTTGCCAAGAAGCTCGGTGCAACTGAAGCAGTCGTCAGCGGCCCAGACGCTGTCGCCCAAGTAATGAAACTGACAGATGGGAAAGGCTGTGATACCGTCATTGAGGCTGTTGGTATTCCTGCTACTTTTGAGCTTTGTCAAAAGCTCATCGCAGTTGGCGGCGTGTTGGCAAACGTTGGTGTGCACGGCACCAAAGTGGACCTCCATCTTCAGGACCTATGGATCAAGAACATCTGTAAGTGGCTTGGCTTTATGATCTACCGTTTGACATGGCACTAATGCAGGTCTATCAGCGATCACTACGCAGCTGGTGGATACTGTTACTACCCCCATGCTGCTCAAGCTAGTGCAATCTGGCAAGCTGCAACCCTCACAGCTGATCACCCATAGTAAGTTCCTATAGCCGGAGTCTCGTGCATCTTACTGACGGCTCCCGTTTAGGTTTCAAGCTGAGCGATGTAGAAAATGCTTACAAGACATTTGGCGAAGCATCGAAGCATAACGCTCTGAAAGTACTTATCGAGGTGGATTAAATAGAAATTCTAGAGAATACAAATGACCATTATTCTAAATTCTGCTTCCATCGAGTGTAGAGTGATTGTCAGACACTAAGCCCACTTTCCAACCAGAGCCATGATTCCAGCGCCCAGGAAGAGGCAAACGATCATGAATCCCAGCCTGACCTTGTCATTCGTCCTCTCACGATTGAAGAGAAAGTCTCTAGCAATCATCTCCACAAATCCAGTATAAATGAGAATTCCAGCAGAAATAGAGTCGAAAATACCGTTGACCATGTTTGCAGTGTAGGAAGAGTTGTCGTACGTCTTTCGGATACCGAGACCAATTGCAATGGCGATAGGAGTTGTTAAACCGTAAGCAAGACAGAGAAGCCATGGCATGCTGCGAAGTCGGTTGGGAAAGGGAATGGCACTAAGTCTAGCTCCAATACCGAGGCCTTCGAAGGACTGATGGAATACAAGAACGGGGAACAAAGTGTCGAAGTCGGATGTATCTGCGACACCCAAGTTCAGACCGATGAATACACTGTGAAACAGGACACCAAATTCGAGGATGAGGAAGGCTGCGATTTGGGTCTTGAATGCAAGTTCCGTCTCTTCAGAATCTCCATCGAGGTGCTGAAGTTCCTTAAAGTCTGCATAACCACCACGGTGCTTCTCTGAAGTAGCCGCCTCTGTATCGTCTTGGCCATTGATCACAAGCCTTCTCGAGTTCGAGCCGTCATCAGAGTGTTGCTGATGTCCATCTCCACCGGCAGTAGTAATAGTATCCTCGACTCCAGAATCATTATGCTGAAGCCCATAGCGAGACTGAACATAGTAATCGGCAAGAAAGTCGAACAGGAAAGTGAACATCGCTGCCGAGAGAGCAATAGCAGGTGGCCAAGAGTATGTAGACCAACCACCAGTCATACCAACACAAGATGCTGGTCCGATCTCTGAATAAGCAGGATCGAGCAGGTGGACAAAAGCAGTTGCGATGATGACACCGGAACCAAAGTATCGCGCAAAGAGGTAGACATAGAGTGGGATCTTGAGACGTGGAATTCGAGTGGCCACGACAGGGAAGAAAGTGACTGCGGTTGAGACAACGAGAATGACGAATAGTGAGCCAATTCTGATCCCGAGAGGGCCATCGTATTGGTTTCCAGCAGTCGTCAGGAAGCAGGTGATGAGACCTTGATCAGTGATGGACTGGAACTCAGTGAGGTTGACCCTCTCTGGGTCGAAGTTCGTAGGCCCTGACATTGCTCACCAACAGAGTATGAGAAATAAAAATAAGCGATGCAAGGAAGCTTAATTAATCAATGAATAACCGGAATGCGAATAGTGCATTGGAGCCGAGGGAATCGAAGTATATATAGCTCATCCTGTCGCACAATTAGACTTTTCAAATACGCAACCTCTCAAACAAAAGGTCTATCGTAGACAGCCGATATTGCCGGTGACTTGCCGTTTTGCCGTGTTTCTCGGAGGAATAGAGCAATTCGTAGAAAGGGCTGTCGTGATTTAAGTACTCGTGAACCTTGATGGTTATGAGCTAAGAATGGCTTAGTTATCTTAGACTCCGTATTGGGTTGTCAAATCGGATCTCGGCACGGATTGTCTGACCAAGTGCATGCTAACGGGAATAACGGTTGAAAATTTTAATGAGTGATTATTTGAGGACCTTTTTGGGTCCTGAGTGAGATGACGGTATTTGATTTGATCAAGAAACCATATTGGCTAAAAGTATTTGGACCGGAAAGTCAGGACATGAGGCTGAGGGGGCCGAAAGTGGCCAAAGCCAAGGTTGAAATGAGCAAATGACCTTGATAATAAGTGATGTATCAATATCAGGACATAGCTGCATACCACATATCAATAGCTCAACTGATTGTCTGCCAAAACTCATGAGACACAAAAGGCATTTCGGTACGTTCCAAAGCCCATGGCCCAACGAGTCGAAGCCTGCAATCGAAATGCGCGCCAGAAAGCCCAAATAACCAGAGGAAGGTAGGCATTTCGAATTGAATCCCTGTGCATCATGTCTAATACGCCAGCAATGCCACGTGCAGACTTTCATATCAAGGGCTAGCTGACATGCATAACGTTCGTGATCAACGTCAGATGTTACCTTAGCATTGGGCCTGCAATGTAGCCTGTACTGAGCCTCATCCTCGGACCGAAGCTGATTGAGTTTATGTAGCGCCAGGATGTTTAATCCCATAATCGGGCTTGCATCTCTACCAAAGGAGGTCTAGCGCCCGGCGAATGTCTGACGAAGCCAATGAATCCATATTCGGTTCACCTTGTTTCCAGATACCTTTCACATGTGAAGATGGATGCTTTTCGTCACGCATGTGTAGAAATGGAAATATCTGCTCATAGCCAATGCACATCATTACAACAAAAAATAGGATGGTCTGCGGTTTCAGTCTTTTATACTCTGGTCAGCCATTATTAGCGAATTCGACGGCAGCGTCTTGCATAAAGGTTCTTAGTCGTGACATCTTTTACGGAAGAGTAAGATCTTATTTTGCGGTGGAAATTTTCTATTACAAAATGCTGATAGTCCAAAGCTCTTTTTGTACCTTAATTGCGAAGGTTTTGGCTACTGATATTTCATCCACTGCTTGCAAGCTATGATCAAGGTCGACTTTCCCTTGATGGGCTCTCCTTTCCGATAAACCCCCAAATATGGGCCTCATCGAGTAGATGGATCGAATAAACTGACTTGCTATCCATCTCTTCTGCTCTTCCCTCAGAAAACTCGGCCGGAGCCAATTACTACTCAAGGATATATAGACGACATAGGATAAGACGCTTATCGCATGGACCTGGCCGTGTAGTGTGACATGTCGCGAGTGATCAAGCTTGGACACGTACTGATCGCTTGCTTTGAATCGCAGATATCCTTCATCATCGACAGGTAGATCATGATAACTTGGGTAAATGACATCTGAACTTCCCGTTGAGAGTATATCAGTGGAGTAGTTGCAGTTGCCTAGGTAGAATGGGATACTAAGACATATAGCATCAACAAGCTCTTGGACTCTGAGTTGATTGGAAGTCCAGAACATGGCATACTCCGAAATTCTGTTGTCATCATAGATATGGTGAGCCACAGATGGTACTGAGGACTTAGCAAGTTGATCCTTAATGTCTTCTAGAATGAGACAATAGATACGCCATGCATTCCAGATATTCGCAACTTGTATGCTTGGGTATATGTCGCAGGCGCCACGATATGGAGGAACTGATGGATTGAGATCGATGCCACTTTTCATCCGCCGTGGATACCAACTCGCTGGTATCTGTTTTAACCAGGTCCGTAGCTGAGTATCCAAATCACAAATTTGTTGCCGTAGTTTGATGTCGGGAGAAGAAAGGTTGTTCAGGGGTGACATATCGCGGATGGTGTGTTGCAGATCTGCAATAGATACTCCAATCATATCAAGAGACGAGCTCGGGTTCATCGGCAAGATCGGAGCAACCTCAGTCTTGATCCAATCAAGGTCCTTCGTTGGTAGTCGTCTTCTGTTCCTCACGGAAACTGATACCCTAGAGTGGAGAAGGTTGCCAACAAGGTGAGCATAATACTTTGAGGTCTTAAAACAATCCTCTCGCTGCAACAACAAAGTCAAGGCGCCCTCGCGATGCGCGCCATGAGCTCTGGCTTGGCCAGATACGGCTGATAAGGTGTCGTGCATCTGGAGGACAAGAGCCGCCAGTACAGTTGCATCACGTCCCCGTTCGTTGGGTTCTTCGGTCGCTTGATGAAGCCGCTTCAAGGCTTTCACCAGAAGCTGGTAAGGAAGGGGACTCGAAGGGGGCAGCTTGCCGATCATGGACCAGATTTTGATTGACGTAGCTGTCACTGCCGTGCTCAAAGCTGAATCATGTCGCTCGGACGCTAGAGCAGGACGGACAAACTCCAGGAAACCTCTTGTCGATTCCAGACTTCGACCGACATCGGTAAAATATGTCAGAAAAAATGGTACAGCAAGATCTTGCGGGTGATGCGATGGTACTCGGATGATAGTCCTCTCAAGCGACGATTGTTTCGTATGTTTGCTGACGCGCATTACAACCGCTGAATCCGCTCGATATCGCACAGTCTCATCCTTAAATCTCAGCCCGCGCGTCTCATAGCCCGTGCACTCGATGCCAAGACGAAGACACGCCTTGCACCAAGGTTTCCTCTCATCGCACTTGACGCGGCGCTGTCTGCATGTGACGCAGCCCTGCGAGGCCCCTCGATTGACCATGACGCGGTGGAGTATTGAGCCAACTGAACGGAGTAGAGTTTTGCGATATTTGCATTAGATGATCGTGATCACAGGGAGGACATGGTTCTTATGCTTAATTTTGTCGTATTTAGTGGAATGCTGACATGAGCGGTACGCGAGAGCCTCATACGTCGTCCTGGCGGCTGTGTCTGGCGATCGTTACTTGATAGGGCTAGACTTTGCGAGAGACGCATAAAGTGGAGGCTGCTGACGGAATCAAAATTATTTCCGTCACCTTTCATCGCTTCATGATTCTCTTTCGAGACTTTACTCATCATGATTTCAAAAATGATTTCCCAGACAGGCCGAAGGATGCGTCAATTGCCAAGATGAGCCCCAGCGACAAGCTGATTCAAAGACGGATATAAAGCCCAAAGACCATCAGCAAAAATGTGAAACTCATCACAACAATCATCAATCATCAACTTCTTGATAACACAACTCCAATCATTCTAATTATGAAAGCATCTTCTATCTCTGCTCTCTACGGCTTCTTCGCAGTTCTTAACGCAGGAACTGCAAGTGCCAAAGACAAAGAGAACCCCATTCTGTTCCTCAGCGAAGACGACAGCTTCAACTTCGATATCCTCACCGGTCTTGGTCAAATGGCCAACGACGGCGCAGACGTCAATCCCGTTCTGAGTGTTGCCAAAAGGATTATCCCGGGCGATTTTGAGAGCTACATCAATGAATGGTTCGACCTTGCAAACAACACCAAGACCCAAGCTCTTGACCCCAAGGTTGCCTACGACCCTATCAATGTCAGGGCGACTTGGTTCTCTGTGTCGAACTATTTCCGCCGTGCTGATGCTTATAATCGCGCCGACTGGGATGATCCTCGCATCAACGGGTATTGGGATGAGCAGCGTGCTGCCTTCGATAAAGCCATTGCGGCTTTGCCCGTTCCGGCGGAACGAGTTGATATTCCTGCTGGTGATTTCAACGTCTCTGGAATTTGGTATTCTCAACCATACCAAAACAACCAGACCAAGCGACTCCCCACACTCTTGCTCACTCAGGGCTTTGATGCTGCCCAGGAGGACTTGTACGCAACTTTCGTTGCTCCGGCACTAGCTCGCGGATACAACATTTTCTCTTTCGAAGGTCCAGGCCAGCCAACTGTTCGTCGAGAGCAAGGAGTTGGTTTCATTCCAGACTGGGAACGAGTTGTGACTCCCGTCGTCGACTACATTCTCTCTCAGAAATCTGCTTTCGTTGATCCCAAGAAATTGGTGCTGTATGGTCACTCTTTCGGGGGCTATCTCGCCGCCCGTGCTGCTGCGTTTGAGCCTCGCCTTAATGCCCTTATGCTAAACGGCGGCATCTGGGATGCTTACACTGGATACGCCGCTCATCTTACCCCTAAGCTTCGCAAGCTTCTTGAGTCCGGTGATAAAGAAGCATTCGACGATGCCATGAGCAAGATTCAAGACGATCCAGAGATCCCCACCACCACCAAATGGGGCATCCTACAGGCTCTCTGGTGTTTCAAAACTAAGTCCCCCTACGAATTCTTCCAGTTGGCCAAGAGCTACAACCTTCGCGGCGGCATCACAGACCGTATTCAAATGCCAGTTTGGATCGCCGACGGAGAATTCGAAACACTTCAATCTGGGCAGTCTAAGCCTGTTGCCGAAGCTTTGGGAGATCGCGCTGAACTTCACATGTTTAATGGTACTGCTGGATATCATTGTCAGACTGGCGCTCCTCAGGAATTTGGTCGAGTGATTTTTGCGTGGTTGGACAAGGTCTTGAACAAGGATTAGGTGCAATCGTGGACGTAATGGTGGTGGAAGGCAACGTGATTCTATGCACTATCGATGCTCAGTCTCCTTACCGCATTTAAGCCACTTGCATTATCTCAGGCTTTTAAGTCAGTTTTTTTCCTTTACCTTTTCTCTAACTTTAGCCACTCTCTGAATTTATTTCCATATTTTGCTTCTCATAATGATTGGTATCTTGCCGTTACCAAGGATAAGCTTTCAGCCTGAAAGTAGGCCTGCTGACACATGATATCTCAGTCAATAACATCGGCTGTCATATAATTCCGTATCTGATTGTTCACAAACTTCCGTGTAAGAGTGGTACGAGGGGTGAAGTATGATGTGAGGGCCATTTCGGGTTGAGTCCAGTTGCATGCATGCGTGGTCCAGCGGTTTTCCTGATTCGGAAATATGTATCGGAAAGTAGCACTCCGAATATCCTCATTCAGACACAAATTTCGATATCAAGTCCTGTGACGGAAGATAGTCCTGAACAGAGTATCACGTCAGCGGGCTTTAACTCTCCCATAGAAGTTGGATACTAAGATATATAAAGCACGATCAAAAACCCTCATCGAGCTTCAACTTGCTCAACTTAACACCACGTTTAGTATCCAATGAAAAGACTAGCAATGAAGGTAAGTCGCCCATAATTCTGTCGAGTATGCCACCTAAGTTCAAGAAACAGATAGCAATCCCAGTTACCATCTCACTATCCCTTGCTGGTGTCTTTGCTCAGCAGGTCTTGGTTGAAGAGTGGCTAAGTGGAGATTGCAATGGACGACCTTTCATCACTGCCAACGTCTACGGAGGTGCCGATGGAACCTCATGTGTCAACGTCGAGCAATTCCCAGCAACCAACATCAGAGTTAGTCTTGTAAAGCCTTGTAATAAGGGAAAAATCCCCGTCATCAAGGTTTCCAGCGTTGAATGCGCGCAGTTTGAAACTGAAATAGTTCTGAGTGCAGATGGGTCCTGCAATTCTGTAGACTTTACACCTTGGGCTTATGAGATCTCGTGTAACTAGTTACACATACCTTAGGTACTCGTTGAGGAAAGTGCACGATGACCTAGAGGATAATCGCCATTTACTTTACAGCTTTCGAGCTGATCATGCCTAAGTTAGATATGATTCAGGTCGGCTACTTAACTCCGCCATTAATAACACATTCTTTAATTTGAGCTCATTCAATCTTACTTCTACTACCATGCAATACCTGATAGTGTTGACAGCAGGTTTGCAAGAGACCAATGGAAAAGCCTTGGTAACATGCTTAGCTGCTAGTGATATGGCCAATGCTCTCAAAGCTGACAAGGTCATATAACTATATCACAAGTAATAGCTGCTTCACCAAGGTTGATAACATCGTATTGAGTCTATATTACTCCGTTGTCTAAAATACGAGCTCCATTGTTGGATTGGCCGGACAAATCTGTCAACAAAACTCCGCATGAGGCGGGGGCAATCCCGCATCGGAGTAATGGCTTGAAAATACGAGCGACGCATCCCCATTGGCTCGCCCTTATCAACAACATTGAGAAATCAATTGCTTTCAGCGGATATCAGTCAGCCACCTAATGATCTACGCAGTATCTGTAAGTAGGTTGTGAGGCTCACCTTTCCAAAGAGTGCAAGCAAGCGGGTATGCTTTGCAATCAATCTGCATTATCAACTCATCTACCACCTCTCATCACACCAACAGCCCAGTGTGAACATGTCACAGTATTATAAATACCAAGCTTGGGCTTGTATTCGATTCACCTAGAATTCATTCATTCGAACAACTCGACTCGTCTTGCCCCTTCCTGATCGGAGTTATATGTCACAGCATCCTATTCATCATGAGTCTTCCCACTTTGAACAAATACCACAAAAAGCCCTATCAGGCAATTGACCCTGCTCTCCCTGCCCTCCAACAGACAGGTAGAACAGTCATTGTCACCGGAGGCAATAGTGGCATCGGATTCGCTATCGCTCGCAGCTTTGTCAAAGCGAATGCTGCCTGTGTCATTATCCTTGGACGTCGCAAAGATGTAGTTGCATCTGCAGCTGCCAAACTACAAGAAGAGGGCTGCCAGTTTGGCAGTGGTACGAATGTACAAGGCCGCACTTGTGATATTTCTGACTTGAAATCTACCGAACACCTCTGGAGGGCACTTGAATCAGAGGGAACTTTTGTCGATGTCCTAGTCTTGAGCGCTGCAAGCTATGGCGCTACCGAGAAAATTCTTGATGGAGGTCTGTCCAAGGTCTGGGGTGAATTTGAGTCCAATGTTCGAAGCACTCTCGATATGACAGAGCGGTTTTACAAGCAAAAGGCGGCAGACCGAGGCCAAACCAAGGCAAGATAGCTTCACCTTCATTCCAAGCTCTCCTATGCTCACAATAGGCAGTTTCTGGTCAATATTTCAACCTGTGCGACTTACATGTGGTCAACAATGGGTGCTGACCGCCCAACGTACGGGCTGACCAAAAATGCGAGCACTCTCCTCCTGCAGCAGATCGCACAGGATACCAAGCGCACTGATATGCAGATTGTCAGTTTCCATCCAGGTGGCATTTTGACCGACTCTGCGAAGAGGGTTGGTGGCGATAGCCTGAAGGGCCTTGTCTTTGACGATGGTAAGTACTCCCAGGACTCCTGAACCAAGCGTTCAACTAACAAAGGTTCGATAGAAAACCTTCCAGGCCATTTCTCCGTCTGGGCAGCAACGCCTGAAGCCAGCTTTCTTCATGGCCGCTTCGTCTGGGCTAATTGGGATGTTGATGAATTGAAGACTGGCCCAGTGCGTGAGCAGATTGATACTGATGAGCACTTTCTCAAGGTTGGCGTGGAGGGATTATCTGAGAAGATGGGGGGTATGATTATGACTTAGTTCTGCAATTGGTATCACATCTCAAATATGCTACCTATCATGGTCGCCTCTCCCTGTCATTTGTTTTCAGATGTACGATATTCTCAATATAGTCAGAGTGAATCACTGTGGGCTTCTTAAACCAAAATGCCACTCACTTGCGGCCTTACTGTTAGCACGCGCCGGGGACAGATGCACTGGTTTACGGTTATAGTAAGTTACTAGATTACGAAATTCTCTTCGGGAGGAGGTACCATATCTAATTCGGCAGTAGGGTCTCATCAAGATTGGACTTTCCAGGTGTTCTTTCCCACTTCAGATTTTCACATGTATATAGTCTCTACTGCAAAAGTGATCAATAAACTTCGATGATGCGCAGCTCTCTAACACTACTAAAATAGGTATTGCATAGCTATGCCGATAGCGTAGCAGGTCTGTGCGAAGATGATGCAAAGTAGCATGACCGTGGTCCCTGAATTAATGTCCTTATGGGGCGCAAAAGTAGTTCTTGGAGTCATTCGCGTCTCCCCTACCCTTGTATCTTGCCACTTCAGGATAATGACATATCTTTCGTGAGAACTGGGTCAGTGCGTCTGGCTTCGTATGTGCGTCCAGGGTATGGGGAGGCTTGTCGTCTTCAACCCAAGCCAGCAGTGCACCAAACGGATCTGTTGGTACAGCACCAGCGTTTTCACCAAAACCACAATGATCAACTCCGGGAGCAAGAAACAGGCGAAGAAAGTTGCCCAGACCCCCACCTTTTCCCTTTGACTGAAATTTCTTCTGCACCTCTTTGAAGTATCGGACACTATCCTGAGGATAGATCAACTGATCACTTAGACCGTGCCAGATAATCATCTTTCCGCCCGCCTTTTTGAATGGGTGAAGATTGGGATCTGATGAATCCATGATGTGACCAAACCTATCTCGGGACACTGAAAACAGCTTTTCGAACCCATCGATATTGAGATGCGATGTGTCGAATCTCGGGTCTGCCTTGACGAAGTTGCGCACCCATGTATCAGCAACAAAGAACGGCGCACCAGTAATTGTGCCATTCACGGTCTTGGTAGCAGCCAATGCAGCAAGCGACGCACCCTTGGGCATTCCGTACCACAGAGTGTTGCCTCTTGAGCCAGTTGGTCCTCTCCATATCTTGCCAACTATTGAGGCAGCGAGTTGGCTGATCACTGTGCTCTCATTCCCGCATTCAATCTTGTGGCCGACAAGGGTGAAAGGGTTGAACTCGCAGGCAAACGGCTCTGTAATAACACCATCTGCGACGCCGTCCGTTCCATCGCACGATTTTATGGCTGCTGATACAAAAGCATCTAGCTCACAAGTCGACGGATAATAGTTCGCGTCTCTCATCACAACTTGAGGCCAAAGTTCTGCGATGACATACTCCGACCAGTAGATGGCGGGGGCCCCAGCAAGAATTCCATCGAAATCATCCGGATACTGCTGTGCTGCCGCCAGTCCTTGACGTCCGCCCGTAGAACAGCCATTGAAATAAGCCTTTCCAGCTGGGACCTCGTAGAAAGACGCTGTAACTGCCTTGCCAACAACTGCCATATCGTGGACAGATTGCGAAGCAAAGTTCCTTAGAAGACCATAATTGACAGTGCCATCAGGCTTCAAGGCCCAATCAGACGGATCGACTGGATTCCCACTGAGACCAGCATTGGTGGAAGAGACAGCGTAGCCTTGAGATGCAGGGAGAGCAAGATCAAATTGACCAAGCCCAGCTGCCCAAGCACCGCCTCCAACAGCGAGATAACGGGAGTTCCAATTGTCAAGAGGTAGCCACGTCTGCACAAGAACGGCATCGTCTTCATTCCCATGAGACAGGGTTACATTTACTTCACAGATGTTTAGATGTGTGACATTTTGAAGTAGCGTTGGGGGAAGTGCAGGAACGGAGTGACCACGATAGATTCGACTTTCGAGGGATCTGATTATAGCACCTGGCACGATCGGGGGAGTTATGTCGGTGCACGATCCAACTGATTTGATTGTAGCAGGTCGAGCGAGGGCACCAAGGCCAACAAGGGTGAAAGAGATAAAAAGATTCATTTAGAACTAAGTATTCAAGCCGCTCGGTGGCGATACTGATTTACTTCTTGCGAACGCACCAGATTTATAGATCCAGGCCTTGTTTCATCTCAAACCGACAAATGAGCGCCGTCGGCAGTTCTAGCAGAATGCTCCTTACTGTGGTTTCTTTATGTTTCCATACTTCAAGTACCATAAAACGAATCTGGACCAAGGTACAACATAGCTTTCGGCAGAATGAGTTATTGATTCCTCATGTTCTATGATGGCTCTTGGCACATATACGAGCAAAACACCCTCAATGGCTAAGATTAAAGCTCAGCGCAGTTCTTCAACGGAGCCTCCAGGATTTCAATGGTTGGACAGTAGATTAAAGATGGTTAGCCATCCGTTGGTCCCCGAATCTCACGTCAGATGAGTCCATGCAGAGTCTTGCGCTTTTCCGTGGCGCAAGAAGAACGAACCAATCAAAAAGGCTTGCTCGTATTCACATTCGTGGACAAACGTTGTGACTGATCTAGTCCGAAATGCGAGTAACGATAGTAAATATCACGCTCGTCTCAAGTCTCAATAATGTAGCTTAAAACACGTAGAAATAATCTCGACGGTACTGCCCATTTGCTAGCAGCCCACATCTGATTCAACAAGTATTCTTATCATGTCTGTCACGACAAGTCTTATCAAAGCAGCTGTTGTTCAAGCTGAACCAGTCTGGTTTGACTTACCTGGTACTGTTACAAAAACATGCGATCTAATCAAAGATGCCGCTTCGAAGGGAGCGAAAATTATTGCCTTCCCTGAGCTTTGGTTACCAGGTTATCCTACATGGATCTGGTAGGCATCGTGTTCCGTGCAAAAATTACTAAATTGACTCTCGTTCAGGGCCCGTCCAATGGATCTTGAGATGGTCGTCAAATACACCAAGAACTCATTGAAAATCGATTCAAGTGAAATGCAAGACATCAAGTCTTGTGCAGTAGACAACAATATTGTTGTTTGTCTTGGGTTCTCTGAGCGAAGCGGAGACTCTCTCTACGTTGCTCAATGCATAATTAACAGCAACGGTGAAGTTGTGATGACAAGGCGAAAACTCAAACCTTTCCATGTCGAGAGGACTATCTTTGGTGATGGGCATGGCCCCTCACTTGACAATGTTGCTCTCACTTCTGTTGGGAGAGTTGGGCAATTATCCTGTGGAGTATGTTTAGGCCCTGTATCTAAGGGTTGTGCAAACTGACACCCTCTAGGAACATTTCAATCCCCTGATCAACTTCAATACTTTCTCCCAAGGAGAGCAGATTCATTGTGCGGCATGGCCCTGTGTGCCAGCTCACTCAGGCGGACCCGAACCATACTCCATGTCCGATGAAGGTGAGATCAATTCTATCCTCCAAGACCCATCTAATCTATGTATAGCGGTAGCAGCCATCTCTCAGGTCTACTCTATCCAAGCCCAGTGCTATACACTACACTCTACAATGGTAATCTCACAGCCGTCCATTGACATGATGGGTACAAAACAGGCACCAGTTTTTAATGTCCCTGGTGGAGGAAACGCGAGGATATTTGCACCAGACGGGCGACAATTGACAAGCGAGCTGCTAGCAACGGAAGAAGGCATGGTAGTGGCAGACTTGGATGTGAATCAAGTGACTATGCATAAAGCAATCCTTGACACCTGTGGACACAACGGGAGACCAGAGTTACTATGGTTGGGCCGGGATAATCGGGCAATGTCGGCAGTTCGAACAGAGAGAGACATTTAGAAGTGTTTATTATCTCAACGGTTTTTTCTCTAATCTTTAGTCACTCTAAGCCTAAACAAAAGGGTCATTCAGATACATTGTAGAGTATTACATGATTGTCGAAAGAGTAGTCATTCAGCTTCGGAAGGAACCTCTAACTAGATCAGCTTTATTCACCTATTTGAACCATGCCTCATCATTCTGCTTTTCGGTGTTTCCCTACCTATTGGCATGAAGTTCTATTTCTGGCCACTTATTAGCTTTTGCTCACCAATGCCGTGAGGAGAAGCAATAGTTGACTAAAACACGATTTGGAATCAAAGTCAATCTCGAATGCGTAATATATCTCACGTAAGACTTGTTCCAGCCACTTTCGGCAATTAAAGGATGTAGGTACGATGTAAAACTGGTTTTCGAAGCTCACTTATACGAGGCTGGTCTTATCATTGGTCGATCATTAACGTCATTTACTTCAAAAAGCCGATTCTCACCGTGCATTATGGATGCGGCCAAGCATCTCTCCCAACTAAGGACATCATGATCATTTGTCTCTTCTTTATTCTGGCTGCTTTCATAGCCCAGACTTTCAGCTTGCGGCCTCCTGACTTTCCACCGGGCAAAGAGCACTCCGAACACCTAAGCCATCGTACCGGGCACCTATCCCGACTCAAGCCACTGTCGTATGTAAACACTACCAGACTTCAAATTGCATACTATGAAGACGGTTCTCCAGATGCACAGGCCGTTCTCCTTCTCCACGGCTGGCCCTACGACATTCACAGCTACACAGAAGTCGCCCCAGCTCTTGTGAAGCAAGGATACCGTGTTATTGTCCCATATTTACGCGGTAACGGACCTACCACCTTTCTGGACACAGATACTTTCCGCTCCGGCCAGCAAGCAGCTCTAGGCTACGACGTCATCGAATTGCTTGATGCTCTAAACATCAAAAAGGCCATCTTTGCTGGTTACGACTGGGGTGGACGTGGTGCTTGCGTTGCAGCAGCTCTGTGGCCTGAACGCTGCGCCGGTCTGGTGTCAGTCAATAGTTACTTGATCCAAGACCTATCTAAAGCCTGGGTTCCACTCGATGCAAAGATTGAAGCGGGCTTTTGGTACTTCTACTACTTCTTAACGCCTCGTGGAAAAGGGGCTTTGGCAGAACACCCGAAAGACATAGCCAGGGTTGTTTGGGACAAGAATTCCCCTGAATGGAACTACACCGAAGAAGATCTTGATCGAGCTACTGAGACATTTGTCAATCCGGATTATGTCAGCGTTGTTACTCATGTCTACAAACATCGCCTGTTGTATGCTCCAGGTGATCCAGATTACAGCGACATCGAGAAAGCGCTTCTTGAGCAGCCTGTTATCTCAGTCCCAACTGTGACACTGGATGGTCTTGCAGACGGTAACTTTCCGCCAACGAACGGGTCTTCTTCAGCCAAGTACTTTAGTGGTCCTCGTGTACACCATCAAGTTCCTGGTGCGGGGCATAATCTTCCCCAGGAGAAACCTAATGCTTTTGTCAATGCAGTGCTTGAGGTCACGTCGCTCAAATAGTTTGGAAATGCTTTGTCGTGATTGAGGAGATGATTCATTCATCGGAATCGAACACGACGTTTTACTATATAGCCAATCCTGCATTCTTTTTCTATACTCTATTGTGTTGAAAATTCTTTTTATCGTTATCCAGATTATTTAGACTGCTGGTTGAACAGCTTTCAGTCTCTCTCTCTAACCGTACATCTCCCTTCTTTCTGTTATTTGTGGCCTCAAATCATCACCAAGAAGCTTTACTGCAATATCAATATCCAGATCTTCCAGGCATCTCGGGGTATGCCTGTCGGCATCAACCCATCCAACCATAATGATTATCGAGAGTCGACAGGTCATGAAGTACATCCCCATGATACCCCTTATCAAAGCTTGCTACTTCATTGACAGCGGCAAGCAGGTCTGAGTCGAAAAATACAACAGAATCCCCCGGTCGGTCTGCATGACAACTTTGTTTACTGGTCATCGTGAATAGAGGTATTGAGTCTCCAGCAGTTTGCAGACTTGTATAAGAAAACATATTAGAATTCTCACGGGCCGAAATGTGGGATATATCTCCTGAAGAGCTGAGTGCTTCAACCGCGCTGTGAAGGAGTTGATCTGCAGTGTCGAAATCACCCTGGAGCAGCTCGTACATGGCTAGCAGCGGGGTCATGAGAACTATCCATCGGGACGTGGTACCGATCAAGTTCTGTATGCGCTTTCGGAAATTGTGCAGTGCAATGCTGTAGAGCTGAAGAGATTGGTGCCTGTGGTGATTGGCCATCTCTATCCGTAAGTCATTCTGGCTTAAGATGAAGCCACTGTGAAAGAACGCCCCAAGGGCCAGCACGGCGTTTTGTATACACTCGTCTTGAAGGGTCTCTTGAAAGACAATCCTGGAGTAATGCTCACTGTAGCTGAACAGCACATTGCTGAGATTTGAATTTTGGTTAAAGTGCTCAAGATAGACGAGGCGGTAGGCCGATATGTGTAGAGAGAACGGAGACGTAGTTCCATGCCATGTACAGGATTCCGAATGATTTAATCCGGGACTCGGGGTCTGGTTTAGAGTTGTTGTAGGGGTTTCAGGGGCTCTAGGTGACACGGACATGTCGCTAACGGAACTCTCAGTGCCGCTTGATAAGCCATTTGAGTCGCTCGCTTCTCCGTTCGTGCCGCTGCTGTAACCGTCGCAATCGAATCTTCCCTTAGCACATCGGACACATATTGGTCTAGCCTCTGCAGTTACATTGATGAATTAGAAACCTCCTCAAGGGCCATGTATTGAATGCCCTTACCGTCACATTTGACCCTTCGGATTTTACAGGTCCCGCAGCCCGATCGGGACTTGGGTTTTCCAGTACGTTCCCAACGCCGTACGGCCCTCTTTCCTTTGGGGGGGAGTATCCTTGACGGGGCCTTGGGGCTGGAGGCTTCACTGTAGAGAGGGACGATTGGTCTCATTCTGGGGTAGATACGAAAGCCATCCAAGCTCTTCCAGAGTCAGTCGTCCACACAAATAAGGAGGGTATACTACCTCTCCTCATTTCAGAGCTGGTGACTTTTATACAAGATGCACTTCTGTAGCCTCTTCATAGACCAGAACCTAATTGAGAATAGTGTGTTTTCCTCAATGCCACCAATTCGCCAGTTGCTCAAGGTGATTGGCTGCTCGAGCAATGTCGATCCATGCTGATGGCGGAGAAATCGGGGGAGCTAGACTATATGGAGTAATCGTATTCATCAGCCAATCATCTATGACAGAGGTTTGGAATACATTGGAGGAGTGGAGTGCTTTGTCATACAGATCAACATGATTCTGACTGCTGGCTCCTGGTAGGGCTGACCTTTGCCGTTTCTCAACCTTGTCACCCTCATTTTCTGAATCACAGAACCGGGGAAAACATCCGATCTAACATTCAGCTCCGCCTCCTGTTCATCCATAAGCAAGTGCATCGCTGAGGCGCAGTTGTCGGCCGAACCATGATTCCCGCCAACGCACTCATAAACAATCTCCAATCGGGCAAACCTAAACGTTATGGCGCGCCCAAGAGCCGCAATGGCTGTGTCTCAGTAAGCTACCCCTACGATTGCGTTTAGATAGGGGATGCTCTAGTAGGTTGTACCTGAGAGTACTCTTTGCTGACATTATCAGTGTAAACGAATGCACTTGAGATGTGACGAGGCAAAACCAACATGCAGTCGATGTCATAGGTCTCGACGATCCTGCGAATACGTTCAGCTGGGACAAATTACAAGCCAGCCCCCCACGCAAGCAAAGCGTCTTTTGCCAAAGCAAGGGCCCGCGAGCCATGAAATCCTCTCAGTTTCTCCCCTTCTAATTCAGCCTACATCTTCTAGTCTAGAGTCCCATGAAGTACCCTACTTCGATCTCTTCCGTTATCAAATGGCTCATGACTTTGGATACACACCTTGCACCCTTTTCTGGAACAAGGTCATACCACGGGAAGCTATGAACGATGACTGTGTAAAGTTCTCTGTCTTGAGTGTTGGCGCGCTCATGCAATCTCTTTATCGTCTTGGCCCAAGGCCATATACTGGCCTCAAGCCTTTTTCAGACCTCTCTAGAGCATCCAGCGACCCGACTTACCGTATCGCTCTACATTATCACTCAAAGGCGATTTCTACCTTACAAGCCCGAATCAAGTCCAACTTCGCCACTGTCTCCAGGCGCAATACTCTCATAAACATGTTCATCCTGTTTCTCTTCGAACTGATGCACGGGAACACCGCAACAGCTGATCGTATGCTCACAAGCAGCGTAGAACTATTGCGACAGCAAAAAGATCAACTGGCAGAAGAAGTCAATCAAGGGTTCGAGCCGCAGCCAGAACCTATCTATACAGCAATCTCCGATGATGAGGGGCTGGATCAAGCTGAGCGAATTCTTCCCCGTTTGCAAGTCTTCTTTAGTCTTAATTCTTGCTTCTTTCCTCTACAGAGAGACTGCTGGTCGCGCTTTTCGACCCAAGCGATACCTTGCACGGTCCCTTCAGCAAAAACAGACTTCAATCAATTTGCCGCTATGTGGAATAGTTTCATCACTCGAGCTGTGATCTTCGTGGTCAAAATCTTGCAGGATCGTTCATACTGCGATACATTTCATAGAGCGTCTTTGATGGCACGCCGAGATATGATCCTCAAACAGCTTCGCCAGTGGGAAATTGTCATTGTCGAAAGACTGGACGTTGAAACAAACACGGTTGCTAAAAACACAACGAAAATATTTCACGTCGGACAAAAGGTTGTCTATATTCTCCTGAACTGCTGTCTTGATCCTATGGAGACAGCTTACGATAAGTACGATAGCGTGTTCGCCGATGTCATGGACATGATGCATTCTGTCGAGGGTACTTCCGGCCCATCAACGCGAATCGAGACTGTCTTGGACATCTACGTTCTTCCTGTCCTCAACTTTGTATCGCAAAAGTGTAGGAACAAGGCAATTCGATCGGATTCTCTGAACCTCTTCGAAAAGATGACATCTACCATGGGTGGGTGGGAGACCAGAGCCAGCTTGCTAGCTCGTCGACGGCTTATGGAGATCGAGGAAGATGGCCGCGATGAGAACGGTATCATTCCTACAGGCTCTAGATACATCTGGACCGATACATCTTGGGATAAAGATCAGTCTTATCTGATAGTCTACTTTCACGAGGCTGGGTACAGAACTCTTTGTAACAAGGTGATAGAGGACAAGATTTGTTTAGAAGAGCAGGAATAATCTCTATATAGATGTATTCTTGGGTCTTGAACACTGTGACAGAGAACTAGCTCCTCATCTACTTGTACACGATATCGAGTAGGTGCCTACTTAGAACCAGTGTAAGCATCGCTCTTCCAGATGAGATAGAGGTTCTCTTCGCCTCTGCCCGCCTTGATGTCACTGGTCATTCCATCCCAGCCCGCGGGAGGTGCGCCTTGAGGGATACTACGAGTTGTGAGCCAGATGCGTTACTTGCAGTTGAGACTTGTGGCTGAGAGCTTAAATCAGCAGAGAGAACTCAACTTAGCTAACCAATATGCACGAACCTTCACTTTGCCAATGAAACGACTACCATAGCTAGTTGATAACATTCTAGGCCTGTGATATCTCTTTGGACTTTTAACTCAGCTCTCTATGTCCCGGTCTAGACTTTGTCCTACCTCGCAATCGCTAAAAGGGTTGTAAACGCAGGGTTTCTAGGCGAGAGTTACTCTCGTCAGCTCGGCCAAAGCTTGTACAGTCGAGAGTAGGAAAGTCAATAAAGATAATACGAATGGGGGTGGCCGCTGCCGATGCATTATAATACGGAGCTAGATCAGAGGGTTGCAATTAATCCATGGTTCACCACTTTTTGCCCGAAATAAAACACACTTTGGCATCTCTGTACCCCTTCACACTATAGATGCATGGCTCTTGAAATGGTATTGAGGCTTGCCACTAGCATTAATCGAGCGAATGCAGTTACTGCGGAGTAAGATTGTGGATAGCTTCATGCTTGTCTCATTCTGATCCAATCACTCTAAATATGATAGTGGCATCTAATCCACTTAGACACCGGTAGGGGATAGCAAATTGGTGCTAGACCCAATATGACTGATAGGAACTATGGCCGAAGCAGCTAGTCGTAGTACGTCAAGCTCTTGACACACTACTACCATTTACGACCATTTCATGGAGACTAAGCAAGTGAATATCACAGACGAGGTCAGACGCAGTGTAAAACTTGTCACTTTGAACAGTATGCATTATAGGATGTACTATCATGTAAAACCAAATCGCTTTCTTTCATATCAAATTCGTAAGATCTCAAACTCCATTCCAGTAAATTACACAACCTCTCTGGACTTGTTCTCAACATAAACAACCTGTCCCTGAGTATTCATAGCAACGCTCTCCTTCTCGTCGTACACGGCATCCTGCTGCTCAGCGTCACGGTTGCCAAACAAACCAATCTTGTACCAAGGAAGGTCAAAGAGTCTGTCCATGCTCTCAAGAGAACGACCAGCAGTCTCAGGTACTGAAACAACGACCCAAAGACCACCCACAACCAGGATAGCAGCGTAGGTCCAGAAGGTGCCGTTGGGGTTGATTCCACCCTCGGATGATGGCAAGAGCATGTTGGGAGTGGCTCGGCTGCTACCGTATTGGCAGAGGAAATGCAGGGTCATGGCGAATGAAGTACCGAAAGCTCTGACACGGAGGGGGAACAACTCGGCGGTGAGAATGTAGGACATGGTGTTCCAACCAAGAGCCCAACCAATACCAGAGATGTAGATCATAGCCATAGCACCGCGAGCAGCAGCGGAAGAGCTGTGAGGCTCGGGGACAGCAGTGAGGAATGAGCCAACGTAGATCATAGCAAGAGCCTGCAGGGCAATGCCTCCGATAAGAGCACGCTTTCGGCCGATAACATCGACAAGGAAGAGAGCGCAGGTAATGGCTGAAATAAGCTTGACAATGCCGAAGAGGGCTGTAACAAGCAGACCAGTCTCAGAACCCTTAATACCGAGAAGGGCGAAGAGATCGGGAGCGTAGAGAGTGATAGAGCCGGCGCCAGACCACTGAGCAAGGACCTGGACCATGCTGGCGAGGTACAGACGATAAAGGTTGCTGCTGTTGAGGAAAAGCTCCTTGCATGTACCGAGGAATGAGCTGTTGACACTCTCAAGCTCGTGCTCGTGGGCCAGCTGAATGGCGGTGATTTCGCGGGTAATGTAATCGGACTCGGGATCTTGTTGTCGGAGGCGAGCCATAACAGCAGTAGCCTTCTCGGTTTGGCCCTTCTTGATGAGGAAGCGAGGAGATTCGTCGACGAAGAAGCTAAGAATCAGAATCAAGCCTGCAAACATGATGTGAAGGCTGGTAGGAACGAGCCAGCGGGCGTGAGTGTTGTCGCCCATGTGAAGAGAGCAGCCGTAGTTGGCGAAGTAAGCCAAGACGATGCCGAGATAGACGAAACCAGAGAATACACAAGTGCAGAGACCACGAACAGCCGTTGGGGCGATTTCGGCGAGATAGACGGGACCGACAACGGCTGTTTGACCAACTCCGAGACCTGCGATGAAACGACCGGCGTATACGGCACCGAGACTGCCACCGTTGGCCATGAAGATGACAATTCCGACGATCCAAACAATGCAGAGCTGTCGAGTAGCCCAGATACGTCCGATTCTATCGCAGATGAGGAAAGCACTAGAGTAAGAGAGTCAGTGGGTACTTCGTCAGATTGCATAATGACCTATACTTACATCAATGCGCCTCCAACACAACCAATCTGAACCATGGCCGAAACATTAGCCTTGATGTTGGCCTGTTCGACAGTCGAGTAATCCTCAAAGTGGATGTATTTCTTGAAGTCCTTTGACTTGAAAGCACCCGAGATCAGACCCTCATCAATACCACGCGCCGCACCCATGAGGCCGAAAGCAAAGACAGCAAACCATAGTCGCCAGTTAAAGACGCCCTTTGGCTCACCGACATCGCCCAGCTTGAAGATGTTGACGGGCTTCTTGACAACGCCTCCAGCCATTTTGATGGGTTTACTGAAACTGGAAGAGGGGAAGAGATGGGTTGGCTTGTCTGGGTGGTCTTGACTCTTTAAGCTTTGGATGCTTGGTCTGGACTGGACTAGTGATTGGGGAAAGCTTGGGGTCGAAGGGGGACCCTGATCTTATAGGGGATTGAAACGAGGTGTCACTAAGTCGGTTGCCCATGGGGTAAATCTTGATTCGGGTGATTTACCCCGTGGAGATTGAGAAACGGTTCGGTTTGTCATTGCTGGGTTTGATGGAGTTGGTGATGGCTGTTGATGGAGACCGAATGTGTGATTTTGTTCCCGCGGGTAGAATTCGCCGACGAAAGAAACGGGGCGGGATCCCCGTTTATTGAGCATGATACCCGTGCGAGTGCGGAGAAGATTGAGTTGGTGGCGAGTCAATAGATGAAGGGAGCAGTGTTACTCCCGAGAAGGCTTCCAGAACACTACCGGTATAGTGGTATAGCACACGCAAGCGTCGAGCACTTTGAGCTTTGAACACTGCATCTAGACTCACTGCACCTCATCTGATCCCATGAGTTTGAGATGAGATCACCCAAGTCCCCGTGTCCTACAGGGCCATCTCCGCATTAACAAGTTAAGCTTCATCGGTGACCCCCGCAACCTCCAACTCTTCTCGTCCTAGCTTCTTTGGACTTTGCCAAGACGGGGCTTAGATCGATGCCAAGGCCCATTTTTCTCGGCACGAACGGCACATAAGAAGCCTTGATGCCCCGGCCTCGTCCTCCCCTTCATCGTCACTCATTTGCTTGTGCTCCTTCGCTCTCGACTCACGAACCCACCTCTGGCCTGATGTTGCTCGCTCCCGCGGGTACGAACCCTGACATTCATGGTCCCGCGGATGCTCGCTCGTCGATTTCTAATGAAGAGACTTCCCGCGGTTGAGGAAGAATTCGCTCACGAGCTGAAATCTCGAATTTTTTAATGTTTCCTCCCGCGCTCGGGAACTCTTTCTTTTTGAATCTCCGAATTTTCAGACGATTTGCGAAGAATATGACGAATTATTACTTACGAGCAGATATTGCAGTTCTCGGCGCTTTCAGAGAGATTGAGGAATCGTGATTGAATTATTGAAGTTCCGCGCTGCATCAAAACCAGCGGTTGGCTCATGGAAATGCGCTTATTCAGGTGCGGCTTTGCAGAGTTCCCGCTGTGCGGCTGAGAAATATCATCCAGGCATTTCCCGTGGTAAGGTGAGGCTCTGCTCAATGACGGCGAAACCAGTTACCCTAGAAGCGATATTTCAGTCACGAATTAATATTTCAACGACATAAAGTCAATGCCGCAGAAAAATATAATTAAGAAACTGAGAAGCAAATATGATGGCTTATTTATGCTTTTCCCGCTGTTAAGTTTTATTATGCTCCGTTAGAAAATATGTTGCTTCTGGCAAAATTCGTCTTGGATCCCAAACGTCAATAAATTCCATGTCGCATCGTCAATATCACTAAATAAAACTGAGAGGCGAATAGCACGTTCATCTCTATTCTCTAACATTCAACGCCGAGATCGTAGTCAGGTCTATTCCCTTCATTTGTGAATTGAAAGTCTTGGATCAGACTATCAACTGCCTGTGCAACCTCACTGGGTCGAGAGATCTGCGGACTATGCCCAGACCCCTCTAACACACGAGTATTCCAAGCTTCACTCCCTCCACTTGAAGAAATCATGCTCTCCTGGTCAGAAAAGGGAATGACGGCATCTTCTGTCGCTTTGATATACGCCAAGCGACCTATGTAAGCCTCTTCCTGCCAAGCTTGAGGAGGGACGATGCCCATGTTGGCAGCCATACTCTGTGGCTGCAGCTGAGACAGTGCCCATTGTGCCTGCTGGTCCGAAACATCGGGTCGGTAGAACAGACTACCAGGGTCTTTGGCGACAAAGAGTCCGGGAGAAGGGGTATCCCAACTGACGTAAGGAAGACCACCTAGGCTGCGAATAACAGCGCCTTGATCCATGCCTCCCGGAAAGATGTACCCGCAGAGGTTGATGAAGCCCAAAACTCCACCTGGCAGGTTGTCCCTAGCCCGATCGGCAATAGACAGTCCGGTGATAGCCCCGCAGGCGATTGGTCCGCCATATGAATGCGCCAGCACGACGACTTGTTTGCCTTCCGCTAATAGTGGTTCTAGGACACCTCGCGCGTAGGCTGCATCGTCCAGTTGTGTCTTGCCCGCTTCGCCGGATACCGAGGGAAGATCCAGATTCTGAGTGGCATATCCGAGAGACTCCAGCTCAGGGATTTGGTACTTCCAGGCCCAGGAGCCATGCCAGGCGCCGTGGACGAGAAGGATGGTGGGCTTTTGGGTGGACGACATATTGGCACAGGATTGGGAGAGTTGTACAGAAGAAGATGAGATTCGTAAGATGTTAAACAGTCGGTCTTGCTGTCAAGGTGCGCGAATAAGCCCAATTGGCATCTGTAGACTATAATCTTACGGCTTACGTCACAGACAAATGAGTCTGGCCTTGGCTGTCAAGGGGGAGGCAAGGAAACTACTGGTAGGGTGTCTAATCTGAATAGGTAGAGGTAAATTCAGGATAGAGGCAGTGAACGTTACATTATTTTGGACTATGTGTTTTTGGCACTTTAGTTCAACATCTGAGGTTTTTCCTGAGCTGGATATTGTGTACACTAGACCAGAACCAGATAGCTGGACCCTTGATCGTCCAGATGAAAAGCGCAAAGTCTGAGACAACGCAACTTGGGCAATGATTGGTGTACTCCAGGTGGAGCCCCGTTCTGCCAAGACCCTTGTTCAAGTCGCTTGAGCTTCATCGACGTCGACGCTGACAACCTCGTTTAGTTATTTCCATTGTCTTGGTTCAAAAGTGGTGAATCGATTGACGGAATATGATCAAGTAATCAAAATGCGGGCTCTGTCATTTATTCATGACTAGAGACGGAGAATCCATTTCAGCTGCTCAAGAGAACAGTGTGTGACCTGATCATGTCCAAGTCGAGGCTTGTCACCGGCGCCACCAACCCCAGACCCCAGACCAGTCCGTGTGAACCAGAGATTGAAAGAAGCACCATCGATTTCACTTTTGCCAAAGAATTGGTTCGCCAGTCGGTCGTGTTTGGTAAATACCTCCTCTTTTCTTTGCAATTCCTCTTGCCATCTCTACTTGTCCTGCCCCCTTTCCGTGACGGAGTGATCCCAGCATGTTCCGTTGCTTCTGTTTTCGTTATCATTACTTCTTCGCCCCCTTGTCGCCTCTCTACTGACCCGTCGTTCCCCTTGGACAAACAGGCCTCGGGATCCATCTCTTCACCCTCCTCCATTCTCTTTTGTGCCATATAGGTATGTCTACCCATACCTCGGGTTGAAATTCTCGTTACTCACAATACTTTGGATTTTGAACTTGCAGTTTCAGACGGCACCAGTTCGCTCGATATCAACGCTTCTACCCTACCCATATTTCCTCCGCCAGCGGATGTCGAGATGTCCTTGGACGATGACGATGAGCAAGACAATCCACATCAAGACTACCGCGAGTTACTCAACGACGAACGCTGTGTCGATTTACTCGATCAAAGCGCCTGCCACGAAACCCTGACAATAGCACGCCCGGCACACTCCTGATATGGCAAGCCAATATCAAGAGATGCGAACCGCGAGTGAAAGCCCTCTGCACCGAGATCGATCGCCGACTCTACGGAGAGTCTCCCCGCCCTCTACCCCACGTCATTGCGGCACAATACCTCTGCTACAAACAAGCCTTTCATGGTATCCCTGGCTATCATGTCTGGTACCTCTCTGACGGTCAATTCAGACGGTCAATTCACCGAAGAGGGCTATGACCCTGATGCACAACATAAAAAGTGGCTAAAGTCATTGATAAATGCCTCGAGGCTCTTCAGAGTGCCGAAGTCGCCATCAACGTGAGCCGACCGCCGCTCGGCCCCGCGTCTATCACGGCTCAACGGACAAACGACACCCTCGTCTTCGCGCACAATCGCCTGTCTCATATCCGCGAGATGACCTTTACGAACGAAGATACGACAACCATAGCGAAATCTATCCTGTTATGTGTCTCCAATACGCTCATGAGTGTGCAAAAGATGGTGACTGAGTCTCTGGCGGCGTGCCCAGATGCTCCTTCGCTGCTTATCTCCGCCAAGAAAACCTCCTGTTCTGTCCAGAAAAGTATTTTCACTGGAGTCAATGGCCTCTCCGACAAGAGCTTCCAGTCCAAGGTTGCGCCCAAGATGCACAGCGTCCGCTTCTATGTGCACAACTCCCTACCTACCGACTACTTCGTGAAGAGTCAAGACCTGCAAAGGTGCGAACAGGGAACTGCTTGCTACCCTTGAGATTGCCACTGCTACCAAACCTTTGGCCAATCACAACGTTTATAACCATATTAACAAACTCAAGGTCGACCCCTTATCCTACTTGGACTCATATACCGGCCATAGCATTCTTCTTGGAGACTTCAACTACCATCACGAGGACTGGAACGGCGATCAAAAGACGGAAACGAGTACGTCGTGCAAGAAGTTTGCCGAAGGCGTCAAGGCACACAACTATATACTGAAGACGAAGCAGGGCGCGATAACCTACTCCAATTCCAAGGATGTATCGAAACGCAGCTCGACCATCGATTTGACCTTTGCCAAGGAGTCGATCAGTGCGTCCATTGGGTACTGCGAAGTGCTCCAAGTACCAGGGTTCCTCAGTGACCATCGCGTCATTGAAACATCGGTCAAGAGAGCGGTGAAGACGGATGTTAAGACTATGCCCTGCTGGCACAAGATAACTCCCAACAAGTTCCAGCGTCGTCTGAAGCCCCGCCTTCCACCTCTCGATAGCCTGGTTGGCAACGAAGAGCAGGTTGTTGCCTTCTTTGCCAAGGTCATAGATGCTCTACACGTCACTATGATGGAGAACGTGCCTAGGAGGTCTTGCGGTCTCAGACCTCAAGCTCAACGAACCATGCAGTTGGCATCCAAGTTGAGAAAGCGACTTGCAGAGTTGGACGATCTCAAGAAGAAGGATCAGACGCCCAAGACATTGAAGAGGATATTGTTTCTCGAACGAGACATCGACAAGTTGAACACTGAGATGTGGAGTGAGTCCGACCGCGACAAGACTAGACCCCCCTCGGCGAGAGCATTCTTCAATGTGTTCAGGTTGGCCAGGGGCAGATCTCAACCACTTCAGTTCGCTCAGACCCCAACACTCAAGTACGAGGGCGACAGTGATGCTGGTAACGAACCGCAACTTGCGGTAATAGATGAGCAGAAGATTGAGATGATCAAGAAGGTCAAGTTCCGCAACAACAACAATCCCGAGTCTACGAGGATCTTGGAGGAGCCTGGTCCAAGGCACGATCCCAAATAGAGAAAAATTTCTACAATGCCGGTGTCGCTTCGTTGTTGGTCATTGCATGGCAAGTTTCAATCAATCTCAAGACATTCACAGAATCATAAGCGTAAACGAGCAAACCTCGAGCTGCAAAAGAAAATGAGTGACGGTTAAATTATATGTCATATGTTAATATCTAGATAAGCCAGACCCATCTGAAACCTGCCCAGAACTAGCTGGGACTCATATAAGACCCAAAGAGAATTGAATCAAGAGGCCAACATAAACTGATCGAAAGGCTTGCGTAGATGTACCCAACTTAGCTAACCTAAAGCTTTTCATCACTTTGAATGAAACGACGCCCATTCACTTTCCTCGATAAGATAACGACTGACCCACTTTGTGAGTCACGAGAACGCACTGAGTCACGAAGAGTCTAGACCAATTCCAGTCTACCAATCATTGTTAGCCTTTTATGACCCATTGAGTATTTGAGTTACACGACATGATTGGGTTTCTCGTAAACCTGCAAGCAAAGCCCCATTTCCATCTCAGCCACTTTCATGCAATTTCTCACCAGCCTCGGCGCTCTCATTGGCATAAAACAATCACGCCGGTAGCATTCACCTCCAATTTGCAGTGTCGTAACAAGCAATAGAACGTTTTATTCTCTGTGGCCATGACAGCCAATCAGGCTCTTGCAATGAGAGGCAAATTCAAGCGAGCCTCGACTCCCAAGGTCAGAACGGGATGTATCACCTGGTACGTTGATAGCTTACCGCCTCGTTTCTCGTAAAATATCACTAATTGGGAAACACCACAGCAAGTGAGTCCAAACACCCTCTCAAACCCTCCTGTATAAAGCTCATACTTCTCCTCCCTTTAGAATCAGGCACTTGAAATGCGATGAAGCAAAACCTTTTTGTCGACGCTGCCATAACGACAAGATGAAGTGCGACGGATATGCACCACCTAAGCCCAATGCCTCCAAGCGCTCCAAGCGTCGAGAACCCCCCTTGAAGCCTGAAGTAACCGTGTTGCTCCCACTGCTTTCTATGCAGACCGTTGACCAACTCTCGTTGTTATCAGACTCTGAAAAGGGCTACCTTCAACATTTCCTACACTGGACAGCGAAACAGCTTTCACCCTCGTCTGCTGCCATGAACTTCTGGCTCGAGTACGCCCTTCCGATGTCATATCACTACGATGCTATCCGGTACAGCATGATTGCAGTTGGGGCATCTCATCGAGCCTACATGGCTCAAAGCCTACCATACTCCCGCCCTGATCATTTGCAGCGTCCTGTCATCCAGCACTACAACAGAGCCATATCTTCGATTCTTCCTATAATGTCTGCACCGTCGAATGAGAACATTCATTGCATATTAATCTGCTGTCTGCTGTTCATGACTTGTGAGGGACTGACTGGTCGGTACGATGAACTATTGCAACATCTCGCTGCTGGTGATACGGTATTTCAGTCACTGCGTCGCCAAAATACCTCAGATGCGTCGGATATGCTAGAGGGACTTGTTGACATGTTCAGTGAGATGGGTCTTGCATCGTCTGGCTTTATGGGAGACCATCCTCTCTCGGGTATCAAGAAATGGTGTCGTAGTGACACTAGCACTGAGAGGAGCGTTGACTCGCCGTTCGCAACTCTCGGCGAGGCATCATATGCCTTGCATGAGCTAAGACTGCACCAAGACTTCCAGCCATGGAATCCGGAGAGAGAAGACGGGTCGGCCAATGACAGCGCGTTTGAGGATATGCTCCGTCTCTGGAATTCCCGTTTCGAAGCTCTGACCCAACGATTGATGCCAAACTTGTCAAATGATGAGATAGCACATGTCCAAACTTTGGAGCTCCACTATCAGTCTCTGCAAATGTACATCAACGCATACGATAACAAAGGACGACAGCCTCCCCATCCGTATAAAGCCTTCATAGAGGCCGCAGAGAAAGTAGCCGCACCTTTAATAGCGCTAGATCAACCTACATTTTCACTAGACGGATGTCTAGTCTCCGGTCTATCATTTGTTGCCATCTCGAATGAAGGCGGGGATGAGAGGCTGCAGGCACTTGACCTCCTTCGCAAGCTGAATCACCGCGAAGGCATTTTCGACAGCAACGATATCGTTGAGATGCATGAAATGGTAGCCATGGAGATGGATTGGGGATCTGGCTCTGATTCTGATTCTGACTCGGATATTGAGGAACCTGATCCGCCGTTAAGAGCACCGAAAGGAATACCGCAGATGCTTGAGGTGCTTGCTCGCAAGACTGGGACGCCGAGCAAACGACTGGAAGGCCTCTACCCATAAAAGGGTGCCACGGTCTATCAGGGCCACACATATAACACATCTCCATAGTAATTTTTCAAAACTTATGAACCTTTTCCATGGCATATATGACCTGAAAAAGGAGGGGGATGCAACTTTCTGTCCTATCATGGGATTTGATGTAGCAAAGTAATGCCTCTGTTGCATTTCCCAACTTTAGTGGTATGGTGCCTCGCAAATGTAATTAACCATTCGGGAATTTCAATAATAAGTTCGGGTGACTCCATTTCACGCATTGGAATTTGATTTACAACGATAGAGGCCACGAGGATGTGACACTGATCAAAATGCGCATCATACTGAGGGCAAACCGGCAAGTGTTTCAAGTTCGACAACATTCAGCAACCTATACCTTCCTGATCATCTAGTCTATTTATTCTTAGTAGATAATAGGCTTGGGTAAATGCTCACATGGTCTTCCGGCATTCCAGCTCTACGCTGGATGTATAGGCTTTTAGGCTTCAGTCATCCTATTAGGACGTTAAATGCAAGAGTTAATCCACTGTCATGAGATGTTGATTCAAGGTTTCCAATGTTATGTTCATTTCAACTATTGACAAGTGAAAGGCTATGTACAAGGTTTAAATGCAGCACAAGATCCAGCTATTTACAGTCTCATCCACCAGCGACTGAAGTCACTTATAGTGTCTTCTTAGCCCAGCCAACCTGCTGGTTACCGCCATCGAATACGACGAAAGCAGCCTTGAGAGCAATGTCTCCAAAGATGTTGATGCCAATGTCGTCGCTAGGCTGGATACCACCAAGGCAGGTAGTAGATCCGTCCTGAACAGGGGCATAGTTGATGTAAGAACCAGGGATGGTGATGGTAACACCGCCAACAACGAAGCTGAAGCTGGGGAGGGTAGCAGAGCAGCTGAAGACATATCCACCGTAGCTAGAGCTGTATCGGGCACCGCTGACCTTGGCATAGTATGCGGAGTTGACATCGTCGGGGAGGAGGAGGAGAGTAGTGCCGGTATCAGCGATACCAGTGATGGGGCTTCTATTGATGGCAGCAGAGCCGATACCATAGCCAGTGGAGGTAAACTCCCAGAAGCCGTCGGAGGAGTCAACGGAGGCATACCCAATCTTGCCAGTGTAGGCTGTGCTGTCGATGAAGCCGAAGTTGTACTTTCCGGGCTTCTGGTGCTTCAGATCAGCGGTGAAGACGGGTGAGCTTAGGGTGCTGGCAGCATTGTCGAAGAAGGTCTTCTGCTGGGTAGGCTTGACGGTGTTGATGGAACTGAAGCCAAGGCCGAGAAGACCATCGAGGCCAGTCTCTTGCTCGAACTCGGAGGAGACCTTCTGGGCGGCCTCAACGGCCTGGGAGCTCACGACGAGGCCACCGACGGAGACCTTGTCCTTGTAGACATCTCCAGAGGAGGAGCTTCCGTCACCATAGCTGATCTTCCATGTAGCGCCGGAAAGCTTCTTGGCTGTGCTGCTCTTTGCGGGGTTGTACTCATCGTGGCCGCTGCTACCAGTGGTCTCAGTGCTGAAGACCCAGAGATCGGAAGAGCCAGTGTCGAAGTCTAAGTTGAAGGTCTGAGCAGGAGTACCGATTTGGACAGGTGTCAGCCACTCAACATCCTCGTCGGAGGGTGTAGTGGTGGCACTGCCACTGCCATTCTGACGCTTCGAGTGAGCGTGAGGAGGTCTCACGGCCTTGACAGCCTTCTCGAGGCCCTTGGGAAGAGGAACGCCATACTTGGCGTAGACGTGGGCGAGGGCGAGAGGACCGTTCTTGATGAACTTGGGGTTCTTGACTTGCTCAACGGTGAACTTCTTGTCCTGGGCAGCAGGGGCGCCGAGGGCAATGGAAGCAAAGGCCAGAGAGGCTGTGAAAAGAGCGTGGATGGAAGGCATCGTGATGTCGGTGAGAGGCTTAGAGATAGAGATGAGACCAGAGAAGAGTGAGTTAGGGATGATGATTATTTCCAAGATGGACGGTTCCTATATCAACTTATATATTTCTGCTGGCTCGACGGAGTCTGACATTGATAGAGCCATTCCGCCATATATCCATATGGTGATGCTTCATCTATCTCTGGCTCACACCTTACTCGGCTTCCAACATCCGAGCCACCTTCCGAGAAAAGAGGTGCATCTCTGGCGTGATTAGTCCCTTTGATCCGCGCGATAGATGCCGGACCTAAATTCCTTGGCTGATCTGTCTATGCAGCCTCCCGTCCTTGGCATCTGTTTGGCTTCTTGGCTGCTTCCATGAATCGTGGCGGCCATGAGGTGGCTGCCCCACCAAAGCCCCAGCGACCCCTTTACCTAACAAAAGGTCTTCTTCAGGCATCTTGATTGCAGGAGCGGAATGAAGACGTCTAGTAAACAACGAGCAGTTCCGCCGGGGTGCGACAGGGGGGCATCACCAGTCTTGGCTTAAGCACCTACCGAGAAGAGATGCTACCGCCGACTATGTCCGGAGAATTCGGCATTGCTAAGGCCCTGATAGGGAGTTGGATCGGGACTCGGCAATGGCGGCGGAGGGACGTTTGTTATGGGTGCAGCTGAGACCTAGGATCTATCCGTGATTAAACTGCTTTTGTAAAGGAACTATTGGTTAGTTTATCATGTGAACCTTCAGGACATAACCATTCTAAAACGAGTAGGGGTTGCCAGTAAATGATGCTATTGGTTGAGGCGGCGGTTACGATAAGCGTAATAGACAAGTTAGATTTCGTG